CCGTAAACATAGCAAATTAGACCTTTGCCACAATTTTCATTATAATTTTAAACCAAACCAAACCAAGCTTAAATACTATCCTCCTATCTTTGTAATAAAACAAAATTTCAATACCCTCAAAATAAAAATCATGCTTCCACTGCTTAAAACGTTTATAACCATGCCTTAATGTCGCGTGTCAACAACTACAACTCCTAACATCGTGTTAATCTCTTCGCCAACCACAACAACAACTCAACTTTAATAACAAACATTAAAAGGTTGCCTGGAATAAGTACTACAACTGATCTCTGATTAAAGACAGGTAGGTGTCTGTCAACACATTCTAGTAAATTAATAATGCATAAGTAAGCTATGAACAAGATTTTTGATTTTTATATTGAATAATTACCTTGAATTTTGGTAACAATTAGGTTGGTGGAGGCGTATTAAGAGTTGGCTCATTGAATACAAACTTAATATCTCAAGATGATGATGACGATGAAATTATCGTCGTCTGCAGTCCACATCAAGAAAGGGCAATCACTTCCCACCATGAAGAAACTCAAGGTAGCAAAATGCGTACTGATTCACACAGCCACACCAACAGTAGTTGTGCGCCGATTCAGAAAGAAAATCAATTAAACGTTAAAAATCTAGTTATAGTTGAAGATCAAGAAAATAATGAACAGAATTTCTTGAAAAAATATCAAAATGAAGACCTTACACGATGTTCGTTACAGCCCAACATCGACAATGACACCATCGGGCCAATCATTATAAACAAAGCGATAGACACTGGAAATGAGTTGAAGCACACTATTTGTGCCCAAACTGATACATCTAATATTAAAATTAACACTCAATCTATTGGAGTCTCTGCGCTGATAGAGCACGACGAAAAATCAATCCATATTAACAAAACAACTGTGGAAAAAGGCGTAGAGGAAAATCAAAATGAAAACTTTGTAATCACTAGTGGTTATATACAAGAGTGTAAGTATTCCATCAATATTAAATAAATTTCGGTCCTTTATGAATTCTCTTTCAGCCATTACAAACGCACTTAAGCAAGGTAATCTAAGTCCAGAACTAGAAGAAAAGTTGGTTAACATGCGCAAGCAACAGGAACAACGAAATATACAAAGTGTGGATGATGAGGATTTGTCGCCTAGAGGAAGTGTTATTGAGGACACATTTACTTCAAATCGACGAAGCATGTTGGAGCTTCAACAAAATAACGATGATCTTGATTGGAAAACTAGAACTTCTACAAAACGACCAAATGCTATGACAACAAGCAGTCAATTTAATCGAATTCTCAAAAAAAGTCGCAATCAGAAAGAATGTATAGTAGACATCAGTGAACAGAAACAATCCAAGTTAGAAAGGCACAAAGAATTGCTTAAAAAAAGTATCCTTCGTAAACGATCATTATTAGAGCGGAATTTACAAAATGAAATACGGGAAGAAGTCCAGACAAAAGTTCAAAGACATGTGCGATCCTTTAGCGTCGTCTCACCAGAAGAGCATAGTGAAAATGAAAGAGGACACATATTTTCTGATCGTCGCGAGGATCAAAATATTGAACAAATGCGGTAAGTGTAAAAAAAATGCCGCAATCATATCTAATTTGTTATTCTTTTAGATGTGTCAAAGTTAACACCAGTCGAAATCTAAGAGAAGAATCATTTGCAAACAATAGCAGACATGCCGTCGGAAGGCCTAAGAAGTTGACAAGGAAACAAGAAAAGTTGTATTGCATTTGTCGTACACCTTATGACGATACAAAGTATGCTTAACTTATTTAAACATTTTATTTTTTATTTAATTTTTGTATTTTTTGTACACTTAGGTTTTATGTAGGCTGTGACCTGTGCAGCAATTGGTTTCATGGTGATTGTGTTAAAATCACTGAGGAAGCTTCTAAAAAACTTTCTGAATTCATTTGCGTTGAGTGCCAAAAAGCACGGGAAACTGAAGAACTTTTTTGCAGTTGTCGCCAACCATACGATGATTCACAATTTTATATTTGCTGCGATAAATGTCAGGGTTGGTTCCATGGCCGTTGTGTCGGTATACTGCAGAGTGAAGCTGAGTTTATAGATGAGTACGTATGCCCTGAGTGTCAGCGAAAGACAGATGCGAACGCAGCCAATATGAAAATCCTTTCATCCGGTGAAACTAACGAGCTAAAGGAGTTAATTAAGCAAATACAGGTAATAAAATGACTAATATTCTAAGTATGTGAATTTAATTGTTATACAACACCAACTATTAGTCGCACAAAAGTGCTTGGCCGTTTATGGAGCCGGTTGATCCGGACGAAGCGCCTGACTATTACATAGTCATTAAAGAACCAATGGGTAAGTTGAATAAATTACTTATGTAACAACACTACTACAATACTATTCCACGAAGATCTCAAACGGATGGAAACCAAACTCGAATCAAAAGCGTACACCAAACTCGCCGACTTCATTGGCGATATGACAAAAATTTTTGACAACTGCCGCTACTACAACCCAAAAGAATCGTCCTTTTACAAGTGTGCTGAAGCGCTGGAATCATATTTTGTGCATAAACTTAAAAGCTTTCGCGAAAATGTGTTTGGTCAACGTAATTAGTAAAAGCATTAACTAAGCTATTCAGCCTTAAGTTAAAAGAGTTTTGATATAAAAGTATCAAATTTTTCAAGCATAAATATTGTTAATTTCATTTATTTTTTTTTAAAAGTACGTTTGTTATAATTTAAATTTTTCATTATATAACAATGTCACCTTTAACTAAAATTGAAATATGTAAATACTATTTATTATGTAAGCTCAAAGTAAAGTAATGTAAATAAATATTATAATTGAGGTCATAATTAGTTAAGACATCTGAATAATTTGCAGAAAACACCTCAGTAATATCACCTTGTACAAAGAATTCAATTGTAAATAAATAACGCATGCATTTGTCTTTATATTGATCTGATTGACATACCGTAGAATTAAACACCTTATGCTAAGTTGTAAAAATAGATGCTTATTCCTAATAATAAATTCCGCATTTTTCTGTACTTGATTACTTTATGTAATCAAAAAATCATCAGGCTCCTGCTACCATAGTTAGTAAAACATATTCAGTTCCGTGCCGGGAGGTATTCTTGAAGCAAGGCCTCGCAGGGATCTGTATACTCAGTATACTCACCCTCGTACGCTCCTAACCGACTGGCACCATTCCTCAAAAGACGAATATAGTTCCGCTACTCACTCTCGTAGCAACCTGAAAGTGTACCGTCTAAACTGCTCTGATCACCCTTCGGGACCTTATGATTTCTAGGTTTAGATCTAGATCCTAGATTTAAATACTGTTAAACTGTCCAGAGCCATAGGACTATTGTGGCCCCGCCCCTATAAACCACGCCCCATTCTTAGGGGTGTAGTTATTCCCTAAATTTCAAGAATACATACATATGTCAATTATGCTACTATCCAAAGATTGAAGAAAATAGACAGATTTGTAGGGGATAAAAAATCGATTTCAATGACTATGAAAGAGTCAAAATGTAATGTTTTTATGAATACACAAACTTGTATGTACACAAGCTGATAACCTGGGGTTTCGCAAAATATATGTACATCATCGGCTATAAAAATCACTGAAATCCCTAGCAGCAGACAGTTCGACTCTAATTTTCTCAGCGAGCACACATATGAGGATGCCAGCATCTTATCAATTCGCATTGACCTTTGGTACGAAAATGCTTACGTTTGAGGTTTTTTTACTTCTAACATCTTCTTCTAACTCAGCTTTGGTACTTGGCCACGTCCAACTTCAAGGCATGGTTCTAGCTCGAGTCCTTACGCAAAAACATCAAAGATCGAACATGACTCGCATTACGCCAGCTCATACACACCTTGCGGGATCGAATCACACATTGTTTGGCCAAGTTGGTAGATTGAATTATACATCGAGTGCATCGTTTCCAAAAAATGTTACCCTACCCGCTCGGATAGAAAACCAAACGTGGACATCACAAAATTTTCAGCCTGACTTGGGAAAGTCCTCCCAGGCTCCTGTTCACAATCAAACATGGTTGTACACTCATAAGACCTACTACACTTCGGAACCTTTACATCATCTAAGTGGACTTCAGTCGAGCGAAGTTCCGAGACATGTTCCGTCTTCATCTATATGGGAAGGATCCCCATCCAGCACTTTTCTAGCGGACAATCATACTCGTGTCGGTAACTCATCATCCGGCTGGCATCACGTAGGGAGCTACCACAATAGCTCGTTGGCTTCTGTCGCCTCATCTCGCAATTTCACGAGTCTACCAATAGCACGAGGAGACAAGCCAAACCCCTCTAGTCCATACGCTAATCTGGTGTATTAAACCAAGACGACCCCCAAACCTTTCAAAACCCAAACCTTCAAACTAATAAGGCCACTATTATTTTAATTTTTTTCAAAAAACAATTTATTTCGCCACTCTCGTTGCAGCGTTGAATTAATTGGACCATCGGTATAAATATGTATGTTGGTTGCTTTCCGGTATTCCAGAAGTGTAAAATAAAATGTAATTGTGTAGAAATGATGAAATTTCCATAAAAGGGCTTTGTCAGGGGTGTGGGTTTTTTTTGGGACGGTGATCACGGCATCATCAAGTATATCAGCTTTGAACCATCAAATAAAGTATATTGTGATTTCCTAAGTTTACGTTGTGCCAATATTTTTGGAAAACCACCGATGATTCTAATCCGAAGAGGATCCCCCGCCGCCGTCAGATGCTCCCGTGCTGCAGTCCAGTTCTCCCCCGCCGCCGTCAGTAACCGCATCCCACGCCGCCGTCAATCCGCCCACAGTTCCCACGCCGCTGTCAATCTACCCTCAGTTCCCACGCCGCTGTCAATCCGCCATCCTTTCCCACGCCGCAGTCATAAACTGACCAGCTCCCACGCCGCTGAAGTCATCTGTATAAGTGCTTGCTGGTTCCCACGCCGCCGTCAAAATGTGTTCCCAGTTGCTTCAACTTTTCACGATCGAAAAAACAGTTCCCTAACGACCTTGCCTAAATGCCCTATTAGTCCCACGTAGCTTGACTGTTATCCCACGCCGCAGTCCTGAAGCTTGCATCCATCGCCGCCGTCGGAAATGTCACAATCATATTGAATCCCACGCTGCAGTCAATATCCAAAATTAATTCAACTTGCAATCCACGAAAAATCTCCTAATCTCCTCACAAGCAAAGTTGAGCGTCAAAGACATTAGTTAAGCTACTAGTAGCGAAACGATAATTTAATTCTACAGCCAACGGTAATGGCAATGACGATCACCGTGTCCAACTGCAGCAGTGCGAAGAAAAGGCAAATGTTGAAAAACGGTTTAAGCTTGACATCAGTTTAAAAGCAGAGTGTCAACAAGCCAGTGGTACGAAGAAGGAAATAACTTGTGCAGGTCGATGGAAGTGGTCAGAATAATGATTTTTGGCCAGCATCTGAGATCTCAGACCAGTTCCTATGCTGCTCCAGAAAGCGATAGCAGAAGCTATTGGCGATGTCGAATTGAACAGCAGGAGGCTCCCAGAAATATCTCAACCGGTTCTCGTAGCGAAAATTATCAATAGCGTGTACGGCTTCTTTTGAGTGCTCATAGGATGCGATTAGATGATTCAAAGAGCCCAATGAATATGCCTCGAAGTTAGTAGAAGGTCGAATGTATCAAAATATCGAAAAAGTATGTCCTCTGTACGCTGATCCCACTCCTCACTGTCATGGATCTCGCTCTAAAAGTCGTGGAAATGATCTCTGCGGCCACAACTGGTACGTCTAGGTGTAACATGGACAGCTCCCGAAGCCCTTGGGAAGGACGTCCGGATGCACTCTTCAGGGTAAGTCTGCTTTGGCTTTTAAATTTACATGTCACAATATAACATATCTTACATTTAAATAAAATTTTAAAGCAACATAACATTAACATTATCTACGCAGAGTATATAAAGACAACATAATATGATAGCTAACAATTTCATTACAAATGCAATGAGTATCACGAGTAGCTGTAATAATAACTTTGAAGGAAACTAAAACAAAGGAAGAGCGTGTTTAAGTTGCCTGTACCGCGGGCGCGTGTCTCTTGGATTCCCTTTGAGACCAAAGTGACGAGTTTGCAGGAAGGCGCGTCAATATATGTAAGTGGGCCAGGCCACAGCCCTGGATCTGGACCTGGTGGAACAATATTTCTGACTGAAATGGGGGTATTTGCCGTTCCAGGAAAGTGTATATACACCAACAACACTGCTATTATACCTTTAGGGCTTTGGGACCCTGCCTGCCGCTGTCGCTGTACATCGCATTGGATTCCCTTTACGATTGCTGTGCTGAAGAAATTAAGAGTTTTACCAGGAGCTCAACGGGGAGTTCGACTGTGATACCATCTCGCATTTGTTTCCCTTTTGCGGTATGTTGGATCGTCGAGCCAGGAGTTAAGGACTCAACTGGTAGAGCGTAGCATTGCAATTACTGGCTAGCTCGGTCTTCGAACACTAATCGCATTTGATTCCCTTTTGCGATGAATATGGGTACCTCTTATTCTGGACTACCTAGGGGAGGAAAGGACAAATGAAGCGACAGCCCGTTGCAAAGTGGTTTCATCTCTCCTGTGATCTGTAAGTCTGCGTACAGTTCATATAGGCTGTTTTTGCTGACCGATTTTGACAGTCTTGAACTGTGGCTGCTGCATTTCTTCTGTTTCGGATGCTTGAACACTAATCGCAATTGGTTCCCGTTTGCGATAAACGACTGGCTACACGTCGTTAGCTGCTGATCTGTCCGGATGTTATTCAAACAAACGCTGAAAGTGACGATTAATTAGCGACGACGACGCTAGGATGCCCGTAGCGTACTTGCAGGCAGCAGCCCTGTAACAACGACAACACATCAGCTCACTTCTTCAGCGAATGCTGGTGATGGTGCGGTGTAGCGGCTCTCGGTCCAAACGCATTTGTTTCCCTTTAGCGTGGACCGAACGCACATCTCTGTGCGGTGCCAATTGCATTACGTGCTTAGGCTAGCACATCGCTCGCAGGACTGTCTCCAGGTTGCTCTTGACGCCCATGCTTTGGACAGCGACAGGCGGCAGTCGGCTATCTTGAACTTGGCCTAGTCTAGTCCGAGCGTTGATTGTAAAAGACACAAGCGACCCATTTCGGGCAGACAACTTGCCTGTAATGTAGAAACGTTAAGTTTACATCTAATTTTAAAATAGGCGCCCGACGGTCTCGTTAGGTTGCTTGCGTTTTGTTGCTATACTCGATGTTCTCTCGATGTATTCTGCTCGTTTGGTGCATAGCATTATCATTAGCAGGCAGTTGTCGATGTGGCGGTAGCATGCTTGATTCGTAGAAGCCTAAATGGACTTGATGCATCGTTCTTGATTCCCTTTAACGATTTGCAGCAACAGAGCAATAGCCGCAGACTCAAGACTTGTTAAGAGCGGTGGGTAGAGCAACTGGTTACTGATTGGTTGCTCGTTAGCTTGTCCACTCCAAAGAAGATGCCTTTCGTTCGTTCCTACCTAGTCGATGCCCACAGGCAGATTCAACTGTGGAACATCGCTGCAAGAAGAGCAAAGGTAATTTAAAACCGCTCAAATTTCTCACTCTGTAAAGGGTCCTATGTGTCAAGGCAGGCAACCAGACAAACAAAGAGACAAACGGCTGTTTCTATAAAACACTCCATCCTTGCCACACCTTCTCCCAAGCCGTAAAACAGACCTGACCTTGCTGTTTTAGTTGATAGGAAGATTCTTCAATTCAATGCAAAGTCGACGTGTTGTATAGATGTGGATTTCGGTCGATTGAGTGTTGGTGTTATTGCTTTCAAGTTGGCATTTGATTCCCATTGCCTCAAGAAATTTTGCTTCATGTACACGGGTAGGTATTAAAAACAGGTGAAAGTGCACGTGTAAGTTTAGCTGTGTGGTCGGATCATCCCAAGCTCATTTTGCCGACTGGATATTTTAGATTGTAAGAAGCACTGTAATGAATACATTAATAAGAACCGATTTTCAGTGAGAAAGGAAACCTTTAGTAAGAACGCATATTTTCCGGGTCCCAACGAAGCGCTACTGTGACAAAAGACAGTATACATATGGCTCTGCCTGAAGCCTACTGCAACCACAACTCTACAAAAATAAAGAAAGATTTTGTTCCACACACTTAATATAATTTACATGTGCTGGGCGGACCACCCATCGAAGACTTGAGCGAAATTTCCTTGCAGCTTGTCATTTTTGGACAGTCCACCAATATGCGCAGGCACTGTTCAACTGCGGCACATTTCTACAAAATATGAAAGAAATGATTTCTATTGCAATGTCTTAGCTTTTGTAACTGTCCCGTGTCTGGATCTTCCACCACATCGGATACGTGACGGCGAAATGACTCCTGTCCGTCCATACGACGAATGCTTCGATTTCAGAATGATTCGGTATAGACACATAATGTCTATACATATATACAAGAACAAAATATCCGAAAACATGTGTGCCCATACCAATCTCAGAAGTGTCATTTCGTCGTTTTCGAAGGTGATACGTTTTCCCAGCTATCATTAGTTGATAGTTAAGCAGTAGGCTCTGTCTCAAAAAAGCTACATTCATTTGTGCTAAAAGAGAATTTGAAACAAAAGAAGTATTTTGTTCGAGTTTTGCTCAAAGACCAATATCACTTTGTTATTAATCCCAATGACTGCTGCTGCCGGGGACTTGTTGTAGGCTTTTGACACATTCAAAAAAGCAATTTAAATTGTCGCACTGACGCAGGTACCGCTCAACTGCCTCACATTGCTGGAAAAGTAAACGAAAGGTAATGCTTGATACCAGACTACAACTACAAGCTGAGTAACGTATGAGTTTGTATAAAAAATACAATATCTTAGTTGGATGGCAGCCGCTCTCCTGTTAAAGATATCCAAAATTTTGAGCGCGAATGGAGAGGAAACTTTGGTGGCACCAGACACTCACAGGAACAGTTCGACTGTGATGCATCGCTACAAATATTAAAATCGGTCTTACAATAGCCCAATGGTTAGGAAAGTAAAGAGTATGGAGTACGACAGGCTAGGGTCAACATATTATGTCAATTCATGGGTTAAAGAGCAGAGATCCAACGATTTTTACATTCCTAAGAGATTATGGAAGCTCCTCAATTGAAACAGGACGAGTGAGCGCGCAGCATACACTAAGAATGTCAATAAGACCGTTTGGCTACTGATGGCTGCAATTCAAGTGTTAATCAGAAGAAAAATCCCATACGGCTTACATGCGAGAATTCAATTAAAGTCCCTCAAGATCCGAAGATGACGATGTTGGCTGAAATGTAGAGTTTGAGTAGTTCCTTTGCGTTGCAGGGTTCGAAGACGTTTTGATGACTTGGGTGTTTAGTTTCTTGATGATTGCTGCTACTCCTTGGTATTGTTTCGCTGTAAATCTGTTCAAAAAGCAATATTTTTCGTTCGCAGCTGATATACCAAATACCGTGTATCTGTGTGGATGGGTGGGTGGTGGTCAGCGACTGCGAAGCGTTCTATGTAGAAATGTTGTGGTAGCCGGTGATGGCAGCACCGACAATGGCACGAGCTTCAAACACACGTAAGCTGATGAGCTAGAGCTGCTGCCGCTCGCAATGCCGCCTTTGTCCCCATTGTTCTTTGTCGGCTGCCTATAGCATTGGCATTTTCATGTCATGCAAGGGAGACTCGGTGGTGGTTGCTGCTGCTGCTCGCTGCTCCTGCGATCTGTGTAGAGTCGGCCATCGGCTGTTTTACGGAACTCGCTGCCAAGCGTTGAGGTTGGGAAAGACACGGACAGACGTGAAGACTCACTCAGTAACTCAATAACAAACCATCGTCGAACAGATGATCGACGTAACTTCTTTATAAGCCACTTTATGACATTTAAATTCAGATTTGGTTTCAACTTCAGGCTGTTGACGTTGTTGCTTGTTCAAGTATTCCATTCCTCCTCATCGTTGCCATTAACGTTTCGAGGAGCAGGAAACTGGAAGACAAAATCGATTATAGACAGTTTTTTATGAAAAACAGGAGAGAGGAGGGGTTTGCTTATCAACAAATTTGAGTGAATAATAAAGGCAACATTGATTTTAAAATTGATTGATTTGTAATACAATAGTTTTATTTTAAAATTTATCAAATATCAGTTCTGTATGCTTACTATGAGTATGTACATTTATATATTTAAGTTTTTGTTTCAAGTGGCTGCAGAATCATAACGTTGTGCCTATCTTTGTTGTTTGTCGCCACACATTCAATATGAATCAGCTGTATCTTTTTCACGTTTCTATCTTGCTGACGTAGCTGACAATTATTCAAAACAACAATCGGACAAAAAATTTCATTCCTCAAAATGGTGTACAGAAAATTCACACAAGCACGTTTGTGTGCGTGTGTGTAGCCCGAGTTTCTCTGTCTGTTGAAATTTCATGTCGTTCGTTTAGTTTCGCCTATCAACTCGTGTATAATGTTCACGCCTCTCAGTTTCATTAGAAAGTATGGATCTACATAACTTAAATAGGTGGTAATAGTATACTGATTTACAAACCGAGCGTGAATCCTGAACCAAAGCCTCTTTCTGGTGGCGTTCAGCATGGATTTCATTGAAGCAGCGGTAATGACTCACACCATTTCAGTGAATTGAAGGCCGTTTGCTCATCGTCTTCCCACACTCTTGCAATCCTTCATTATTTCATTACAATCTATAACAGCCTTGCACATGATTGCGACTGCAAATGAGAAATTGGGGTTTCGTAATAAAACTAATGTAACAAATGAAAAAATAAGTTTAAAGCAACATAGAAAAAAATATTTCGACAGATGAATCTCGAACATCGTGCCATTCTTTTCTTCCATTGCATGCATGTATGTATACACACAAATATGACTGCCATATATTTGTCTCTTTCTAACTGCTGACTGCAATGGCAGCACAGTTGTGTTGGTGGTTGTTGTTGTTCCTGTAGCTGCTGCTGCGGGTTCCGTTGTTGCTGGCGTTGTTGTTGGTGCTACTTAGGCTACGCATAAAATTGTCGAGGCCACTTAGCTCACTCCTCCACAAATTGTTTTCGATTTCACGCCGTTCACACTCTTCTGCTTTAGCCACTATTTTGGCATTGGCTTCGGAATCAGCGTCACTACCACAATGGGTTTTACCATGTGGAACAAACTTTGTTTGGATATCTAGCCATCGACTAAATCTTTCCTGTTGCTTTCTACGCAGCTCGTGCTCAGCGTGGAGTAGAGCCGTCGACAAAATGGCGTTTACGCGCAGGTCGCTGCCAGCACCTCGTAATTTGCGACGCATTTGAACGCGTTTTAAACGAAAGTTGCGCACCCAATCAGTTAATGTTTTGGGATTTGCTGCAGCGTCGCATTCGTCGTAGTATGCAACCATTTTAATGTTTTTTTTTTTTAATTTGTATATGCAAGTAATTAAAGAAAATTTATGTGGTATACACACACACACACACCTTTACTGCTGCCTAGATTCACGTACACAATTTGTATGACGAATCGCTGCAACGAACACCAGATAACTGTAACGAGCGAGGCAACCAGCGACCTTTTTATAGTTTTGCTCGCAGCAGGGAAACGTATTGCTACGCGACATCAGCATCTGTAGTACCTGCCAAAGACTCTATTTTTCAGCAGTGCCCTTGACGTGGAGGGTTAAAAGAAACTTGAAAGCAACCCTTTTCCAGGTAAAATGCGTGGATTTGAAGCTGAGTACCCGTGTTTTATGGTTAAGTTGGTTAATTAGATTTCAAAATTGCACCCCAATATTTCCAAGCAATTCAGACATCGGAATTAAGGGCTGCTGTTTATAAAGTATCGGAAAAACATACCTGGGCAGGGCCGCATCAACTTTTTGGCGATAGTATAGTTTGGACAACAATCGTTTTAAGAAATCTTGGCGCGTACTCATGAGTGAAACTTATATTTGAAAATATGCTAGTTGGCTGCAATGTGTGCATAAATATCTCAATGTCATCAAAGATTCATTTACAAATATACATACATATATATATGCACGATAACATGCGATCTGGATAGCATCGCAATTGAAGTCTCGAAAGGAACGTTCACTACACTTTCGCACCTCGCTGGCGCTGGTCACGGAAAAGAGAATAAATCCATTGACATACGAAAAACAAAGGCACGTCCGTGAATGTGAAAAATTAGCACACATTGCCAGTGGTGCGAGCGAGCAGTTGTATATTTTAAACAAACAAAATTGCTCATCACAGAATAGGTATCGAACGACGCCACCATATTCCTGCTGGACTTCATGATCTTACCAATAAGGGTCAGAAAATATGTCAAGGGTATAATTGCGTGCTCTGATTAATTGCCGATTTATTCATTCGTAAGAATAAATAGATGACCCCATGAGGCGTGCAGGGAGCGGCAGCAAAAACACCACATTGCCGACAGCTGGAGCCAGCCACACTCTCGTTTGGTCGGTCGGTCAGTCGAAATCGAACGTTTATTATTGTATTGTCAGCAAGAGTATAAACAAATAACAACTGACAGAAGTGGCCGAGAAAAATGGAGAACGTGCGCTTTTCGATAATCGTAAGTAGTGCCGAACTGCCATGCCAGTTCCTCCTCCCATTATAAAAGTACTCATATGTGCCTCAAACATCCGGATGGTTTGTTTTGGCAGGAAAATGATCTGAAATGGAACTCGGAAAGCGATCAGGTCGCCGACCAGGACGCGGACCTGCTCTTCGAGAAGAGTAGCGTTTCGAGTGAAGCCAACTTTGATGCGGACTTCAGCAAAGAGGTGCAAAAGATTTTCGACCGCCAGCAACAAACCCAGAACGTGTGGCGCCCGCAAGAAATTGATCGTACATTGTGTGCAATGCCCAATGGCCAGCACGTCGTTGATATGGTAAAAACGGGATGCATTTTGGGTAAGTTGCCCCTCGTTACTATTCATTCTAAATCTGACGGATCGCATCCAAGAACTCATTCCTGACTCCAGCGACTGCAATCTGGCTCTGATTTGCTCTTCAATATACGGGAGTGTTGAGAACATTATGCATCTGCTGAACCACTGTAATGCCGATCCCAATGCCACCGACAACAGGGGTCGCACACCCCTTCACTTTGCCTGCTTTCGAGGAAATGCTCCCATTGCCAAGGTACTGCTGGATCGCGGCTCCGATCCGAATCGTTGGGATGCTAGAAAGGAGGTTACGCCGCTGCATTGCGCTGCCAGGTCAGTTTCGGGTAGCGAGTGTAAATATTTATCGTACTGGTCTCATGGGCTGGTCTAACAACAAACATATTTTCCACTCAAATGCATCCTCTGTGCGTCTACTACTAACCTCCAAACACTGAGAGTGCCCACATGTGTATAATTAAAATGTTCTTGCCTCAGTTCCAAAAGCGTTGAGTGCATTCTCCTGCTGCTGCGGCGAAAGGCGAACATCAACATCGGTATCGAGAAGCTATCTGCCTTGCACTATGCCATAGATGGGAACGCCGTGGACTGCGTCGAAATCTTACTCAAGTACGGAGCAGATCCGAATACCCCTCAGGTGTACACCGAGACACCTCTGCATACGGCCAGTGCATTGGGTTACACCAAGTGCGTTCAATTACTCCTCAGCCACCATGCCGATGTTCGTTCGCAGTTTTATGAAGGAAAAGTCACGGCTTTGCACTTGGGTAAACGAATATCCCAGTTACCCCACAGGAATTTAGGACACATACATAATTGGATAACTGATAATTTTTTTAATTACAGCTGCAGAGAGCGACTACGTGGACTGCGCTCGACTCCTCTTGGAACACAAAGCAGATGTCGACTGCCGAAATGCCAGTCAACAAACGCCACTACATATAGCCTGTCTCACGCAGTCGATCGCTACAGTGCATCTCCTTATATCCTACGGCGCGAATGTGAACGCCACATACCGTGAGGGCAGAACGGCTCTGCACGCAGCCATCGTGAAGAAGTCCGATTGCCTCGACTGCTGCTACGCTTTATTGACCGCGGGTGCGGACGTTAATAAGGTGGGTAAGAATTTTCCACGATTACACCAATCACTGACGATGACCGAACGTGTTTACAGGCCGATCATTTCGGATTCACCCCACTCCACGCAGCAGCGTTTAATGAGTACAGCAACTGTGTCTTTGCGTTAATTGGCAAGTGAATTGGAAATTTTAATATTCTTCTCCCGCAAAATGGGAGAATACTAAGGCGCAAACTGACTCACTTTTCTTTCAACAGAACACGGAGCCGATGTCACCGCCCGCACCGATGGACGCGTCTCAGCGCTGTCGTTCATAGTGCGACGAACTCCCGAGATAATACCGAAACTAATGAACAAATTTAGCTCCTCGATCAAGGCCTACGATAATGAACTTGGAAATGTGGACTGCCAGATTTATCTTGACTTTCAACCCTTGGTTCCCAGCCGATCGATGGAGCGCGGCGAAACGGAGCTGCTTCTTGCATTAATAGAGGTCGGGCAAAAACGCATTTTAATGCACCCACTCTGCGAGACTTTTCTTTTTCTCAAGTGGCGCCGCATCCGCAAGTTCTTTCTTATGAGCCTGGCCTATCATACCATCTTCGTGCTTCTGTTCACCCTCTACGTGATTGGGGTGTTTGCGCGCTCTTGTAAGGACGGGGCAACTTGCATAGCACCAGGCTATGTTTCCACAATTTGCTACTTTGTAATCATTCTGAATTGTATTTTGCTCGGAAAGGAGTTGTTTCAGATGGCACACGGCCTCCACGGGTATGCAAAATACTGGGAGAACTGGCTTCAGTGGTCAATTGTATTTGGAGTGTTTCTCTGTGTGGTACGTGTCCTTTGGAGGTAATTACCTAGCTAATCGATTTACCCAGAAACCGCCCACTTATATTCCCAGTCGCCGGATATCGTGAGTACTGGTGACTTGAGGGCGGTCCCAATATGGCAGCATCATGTGGCCGCAGTGGTGATCCTTCTGGTCTGGCTGGAGCTGATGATGTTGGTTGGTCGCTTTCCCATATTTGGAATTTATGTTCAAATGTTTACCAAAGGTATGTAAATAACTTTACAATTTTCCTATAAGCCGCATAATAGGAACCCCCTTATATACTTAAATCAGTGGCTGTCAATTTTGGAAAGTTTATGTTGGCGTACATATGCCTCTTTGTGGCCTTCGGGCTAAGCTTTGCTGTGCTCTTTAATGATTACCCAGCCTTTGAGAACATAACATGGTCATTTCTGAAGACCATAACCATGATGTCCGGCGAGCTAGAGTTTGAAGACATTTTCTACGGTGACTATGCCGTAAAGTTCCCCGTCACCGCCCACATCATCTTCCTATCTTTTGTCCTGCTGGTCACTGTGATTCTAACCAACTTGATGGTGGGCTTGGCTGTCAGTGACATTCAAGGACTGCAAGTCAGTGCCTCACTGGACCGCCAGGTGAGACAGGCAGAGCTTGTATCGCGTCTAGAGAGTCTCTTCTTTTCGCGACTATTAAGGAATGCGCCAGCCCATTTGATCCAACTTTGCAAGCGAAGTGCCCTGTTGAGCACCTCTCGCGACAAGCTGCAGTTCGCCTTTCGACCCAACGATCCGCGTGATAACCAGTTGCCCGAAAACATCAAGCTAAATATATACAAACTGGTGGCAGAGAGACGTGACAGGAATCAGAGTCTACGGCGTCGTCAGTTCGAAAGCAACTACAATATCTTCAGTCGCAGTCTGCAGCGCCAGCAACAGTGCCCCCAGAGTCAGAGAGACGTGGCTGATAGAAACCAGAATAAGCCGTCACAGCAGCTCTCCCATTTGAACGAGCTACTGCGTCCGCGGTCCGCTACGAATGTTCCGCAACAGCTTCGACAGGAGCACGAGGTGACGGTCAACCTGAAGAACCACACAAATGCCCTGAGCGACGTACGAATCGAGGTGCAAGCAATCAAGGCTCAGCTGGTAGATCTAGTGACAAAATTCGAGGAGTTCTCAGAGAGCGCTACACGCAAATTAAACTACAGTGCCGACGAGCTCTGTCGCATGCGCCAGACTCAATCGATCCCCACGGACACGCATCTTCAAAGTCGCCATTACTACCGCTAAGTCTGGATGAGTGTCCACAGAACTGTTTCCAGTTTTACTTTCATATATGTACCATTAAAGAACATAAATAGTTAGGATTGCTATTGCTCCAGATTGCTTGAATGCCTAGCGAGAGCTGGTTAGCCATTTGTCATTGGCCTGATTCCAGACAAGCGTCTCATCATTTGGTTGCGGATCACTAGGTGCTATAAGTGTCCAAGTCTTCGTTTTCGGATTAAATGCAAAATTCTTCGAGTTGAGAGGCGGAGATGGAGCAGTTTGGGTCACAATAGGGGGACGAGTGATGGACACAATATTCGGATATGCGTTGGGGCTCCCATTTGGCAGGCTATTTATGTACTCCACCTGCGATTTGGGATTGTGGTCCACAGGCGCTGCCATCAGCCCGCCCTGACAGATCAATGCCACAAGAGCTGTAAGATCATATAAACGATGGGTGTTTGATTTCTACATAGATACTGAGTATCAGACTTACTGCAAATGTAGCACACACCGAACCACGACATTATTTCGAAATGAAGCAGCTACGTTAAAACGGCTTACTAAACAGACAAACGGCGCGATTGCGACTGCTCTATAAACTGAGACGGAGATAGCGCTTGAGTCGGGGTCGGCCTTTCACATGCAATACAATCGCAACATTTTATTTTATTTGCTTTTTTTTATTTGTTTACAATTCTGATAGATTGACTCTAGTATTCGTACCAAGTTGAAAACTGGAATTTTTAGGGTTCCTTCCAGAATCATCCATTCCCATTATAACTGGGCGGGGACCTGTGGGGTACTATGTATTCCGACAAGCTCCCAAATGTATCCGTCGAACATCTACATAAGTTTCATGAGAACTCATTAACTTTTTATCAGGTGCGGTTAGCCCTCATTTTCACTTACTCTGCCCACATCTAACGGCGCAGTCGAATTTCCCGACATTGTAGTAGTTCACGTTATCGCTGCCACAGATGGGATTGTACTCGCTGGTCGCCGGACACGACTGCAAGCAGGCCAGGTACTGCGGTGACTGGGTAGTGGGTTTAGGAGTTATTGTGCTGCCATCACTTGCTGGCCGTTGCTGAGACGATGCCAGCCAGGAATTGCCGCCTCCCAGCTCGTTAACGGCCTGAGGATAGGCCGAGAGCCCGATTATCAGCAGCACAATGCCTAGGACGAGAACGTTAGGTTTTTTGTATTTACCGAACAGAATTTACCTATCACACCCAATAAACTGACGATGCTTTCCATTTCAGACAAACCCTGGGCCCAGCGGGTTTGCTTGACTCTGAAACCACAAGTCTGAATCAGAGACAACTTAGTTGGGCATTTATAGACACCCGACGTGCATCCGATTTTCCATATTACCTCTCTCTCACAAGAAAGCTCTCTCATGCTTTTAAAAATATTTCATACGTATGCATTCATGTGTACGTATACACTGAAGTATGTTTGTAGAAGTATTTTTGATAAGACGAAACCACGAAAAGGAACATTTTATTTACTTCTGGAGTCGATAAAACAGAATCCGAGAGATCAATGAGTATTTTTAGTGAGAGTGTGTGAAAACCGGACGGACCTGAATATATTTCTTTGTGTTTTGTGCTAGACTATACGTGCGTATGAGATACAGACTGTTGTGTGTTTTGGATTTATTGTTCATATTGTACAAAAAACATGAATTTCTACAGCTCATTGAGATATGCGCATGCTATGCATAAGTAGAATGAGCATCACAGATTTAATTTAGGCCTAGCTCTTGCCTAGCTAGGTGTCAATAATAGTGTCCATCGTGAATCAATATTGGCAGAAAGTTTCGGATCATAAAATGTATGGTTAATATAGAAACTATACTTGTCTAGTTATAAACTGTTTTCCAGCATATAATAGATCCGCTGCTGTGGGTTTGGGTGGTGTTGTTGTTGATGTGCTTGCTGCTGGCTGAGATCCTGCGCCTGTGCTTCAGGCCGAACAACATTTGAGGTAGTAGGGCATAAACTGTTGGCAGTGTCACTGTTGGTCGGGCGTTCTTGCTGACTGCCGGGGCTTTTGCTTTTTCTTGCCGCTGAGCTGACTTTTGGACGCGTCCAGTGGCTGGTTCTGGTTCTCCGTATGCAGAAAGCCAGTCAACTTGTTGTCCCATATCATAAGGTAAATGGGTACTATGGAAAGCATTTGCAACTTGCGGGGCGCCTGCCTCTCTTTATGTTTTGTAATCAATAAAAAGTTGGGCGCATTCTGTGCGTCTACGTGGACCTTCTGCATTTTGTAGTTAATGCTGATAACATGCCCCGATTCAAGGGTTAGTACATTCATCATGTGCTGGAATATTTCCATAACTACAGCGGTCATGCTGACTCGCTGCTTGTTGCTAACATATCGCTTAAAGTACAAATTGCACGACTCCTCGCCTGCATTTTTGGAATTGTATTTGCGCTCGTTAGCAATTTTTGTCAGCGAGTGCAGCTCTGCAGGACTACGGCCCGGAGGTGGGCAGTAGTTAAGCGAAGCTGCCAGTAGGCTAAACGAAAGATAAAGTGTTCATATATGAATAAAAGAAAAGTGTGGATATCTACGGTAATTACCGATGCACCATTATATCGGGATATCGACGAATCGGGCTGGTGAAGTGTGTGTAGATGGGAATGGATAGGGCGTAGTGCCAGAGATCAGCCGGCTCTGTTTTTCCTTCGCTGCAAAAGTAGCTGGAATTTGGGGAGTATACATTTAGATTCAAACGCGTTGAGGGGCCAATAGGGGGCGTTACTTACTTAGCTCTGGCCATCGGTTTCATCAGAAGACGACTAAGACAGAAGCTCATTGCAAGGGGATTGGAGGCCTCCTGGCACAGTCTCACGATGCTCTGTTGAAGCGCCTTCGAAGAGCTGTAGTCTAAATTAAAACCCAAGGCATGAAACTTCTCCTTTAGTCCCTTCAGCGACTTCATAAGTGGCGGCGGGTGATTTCGAAGCACTGAAATCTCCGGAAACGAGTCGTGGATAAAACGCGCAACGGATTGGTTGGCCAAAAGCATAAACTCTTCGATCATGCGATTCGCCTCTTTCTGCTTCTCCACTTCAAAGTCTTCTGGCTCGCCACTGACGGGATCGAGGATAAAGCGAAGCTTGGGATTATTGAAGCTAATGGCCCCTTTGTCATTGCGTGCTTTACGCAGTGAGCTTGCAATGCCATGTAAGCAGAGCACTCGCTTTACTACGTCATTGGCGTCAAAGCCGTTAAGAATGGAGGGGAAATCGTGTTCACTGAAGAGCTCGTGCGGATTGTCGATGATCTTTTGAGCGTGCTCGTAGGCAAACTGCGTGCATGACCTAATAATGGTCCGAGTAAACTTTGGCTTTTCCTGTAGCTGCACCCCGTTTCTATCCATGCGCCAGAACACCGAAAATGCAAGCTTATCCTCACCAGGCAGTAGAGAACACCGCATGCAGAGCGGCTGAGGAAGCATGTGGATAACTTCGTTGGCTAGATAGATAGACGTTGAACGCTCTTTGACGATATTGTCCAACTCTGAATCCTCTTGAAGATAGTGAGACACGTCCGATATGTGTACGCCCACCTCATAGTCGTTATCTCCCACCTGTTCAATGGAGACTGCGTCGTCCAGGTCACGCGCAGTCAGTGGATCTACGGTAAATATACATTTCTTCCGCAAGTCCCGACGTTGGGCCTGATCTTCTGTACTCTCAGAACTGAAGGCACTTGCGAACATATCGTTAAATTTTTGCTCGAAGGGTTTTACATCGCCCAAGCTGTTATGGATCATAATGGCCTTGAGTTCGTCCGGCAAATTACCAATCCGGCCCACCGGCTGAATCAATTCTGCTATGCAGTGCCCGTTGCAGTCAGTCTCGAGGATGTGGGCTAAGTAAAGCAGGCCACACACCTCCTCAGGCTGTTTGCTTCCTATGTGCTTCCTGCAGTCCATTTCCGGTATGTAGACCATCGGGAGGCGCAGGTCAAAAGGGCGAAACTTGTAAAATAGTTGATCCTTAGACAGCTGCGTTGGATTGGTAAACGATATTGTACCGACAATCTGGCGAAGCTCGGTTTGCTTGACAATCCCTATGACGAACGCCTTTGGGCAGTTGTCTGACGATATGACGACGACATTGTCAACATCGGCGTCCGAGTCCTGGGCCGCTATCTCATTAGAGAACTCCTCGTCTTCGGCTGTCAGTGCAAAGAGTTTAAAGAGTGCTTGCGTCTTCATTGAAACAAGAAACTTACCTGGTGGCATGGATTGAGCGCCAACATTCAAAACAAAAGCACGCACGGTATCCCCTTCGAAGGCGTACCTTCGAGCCACTGGCAAAAGTACAATACCGTCATGCTCGAGACCTTCACGATCCGTGGACATTGTGATAAACGCCTGCTTATTGTTCTTGCGATTCACTCGAATTTCATCCTCAACAATTCTACCAAAACCTTCTTTTACAAGACGTTTCGCATGCGCTTCCAGATCGGAAAAGTCCCCAGAAAATATTAATTCTGCAGGAAGCTTATGTTCCGCACCCATGTAGTTCCGAACTATCATATTGATATATGCACGCATCGCCTCCAGTTCGGTCTTAAACGACTGTGAAGTGCTTTCACCAGCCGATTCGTCTGATTTCTTACTCCTAATCTTGCGCGCTGATCTGGCCTCTTGTTTGGTCCCTTGCTGCTGTTCAGGGGGGCTATTGCTGCTTGCGCTAGACAATTCCGAATCGCGTCGTGGGCGTTCATTCCCCTTCTGGGGCAGAAGCCGTCGAGTTACGTCGCTGCCACGATGGGGCATTTGGCGAAGAGAAGCTTGTTGAGACATGACCACCTGTTGTCGGCCCATATCAACATGGGGTGTCCACTCGAGCTGCGACAGCACATCACTCTGGCGAATGAGGCGACCCGCATATGTATTGACATCTGGAGACACCAGGGAAATCCGTTGAACTAGCTCCTGCAGAGCGTTTACCTCCTCCCTGAGTGCTCGCTTAGACTTTTTTCTTTGCTTAACAGGTCCTTGGGCAACGGAACTGCATACCGAATATGCTGGCATTGTGTTAGTCTGCATTTGGGGAGGTGTGTGCATCGGAACTTGCACCGGCACCGCAGTGTTACATGGTCCTGCGAAGTGATGTTGCACGTTCATTGGCATTGGAACCTCCACCAGAATCGGGACGGACGCAGCATTACACGATATATTTGGAGCAAGTCCGCTTCTGGGCGGTGTATCTAATGGCAGCGTTTGTGGCAATGATGTATTGATGCGCATGAAGTTATTTGCGCCAAAAGGGACAGTGGATGTCGACTGCATCTCCATCTCTCGTCCAGCCTGGTGAAGCCGAGCCGCCAAGAGTTGAGACCGCTCACGCAGCAAATCGATGTTGATGTGCCCCGGAGGCAGTTGAACCGACTCTGACGTTCGATTCATTGGATCAGTTCCTTCGCTGCGGCTTTCTCTCGCAATGTCTCCGCCCACATCAGCGCCTCTCGATTTTAACATGTGAAATATATTTTTCAAATAATGTTTTTTTAAATAAATTTGCTAAATTTGTAAAATCACTCTCTCTGTATTTTCGATAGCCTGAGAAATACGGGCATACTTTTTATTATACATCGATAGATTCTTTTTCGACAGCAGCTGGTGTAAAAATGAACGACGGTAAGTAAATAATTGTTTATTATTAAAGAAAATATACATCTAAATCTATCAAATATTCGCATGTCCACAGAGGAAATTATAAAGCAGCGTCTGCTTATTGATGGCGACGGTACTGGAGAGGACCGACGCTTGAATGTGCTACTAAAGCATTTTCTCAAATATGCAAACTCCAAAAATGACTCGTCGGAAACTAGGTACGCAAATACTAGACGAGTGAGGCCCAAATATAGTTCTTTGGTTTATTTTATAGCCAAAATTTGTATGACCGGCTGATGGCTCAGTTTGCCCAGTGCAAGCTGACAGCGTTGAAGAATGTGCAGACCCTTCAAATGATCAAAGAGGAACGTGATAACTACAGCAAGCTGGTGAAACAGCATGAGGAGAGCATTGACCTTGCCAAGGAGGAGATTGAAGCGAGTAAGAAGGATCTAGTGACAGCTAAGCAAATACGAAAAAACAAAATGGAATATGATTTGTTGGCCTCGCTCATCGAGCAGCAACCCGATCGAAACGGCACTCAGAAGCAAATAGAAATAATTAAAAAAGAAATTGATGACCTTATACAGAAGAAACTCAAAATGGAGCGCAAGTTTCAGAAGCGGCGGAATGATTTTACTCTTCTGATGTACAGCATCCACGAGCTGGAGCAACAATTAGAGCAGGACAACAGCTCCTCGTCGTCGTCGTCATCGTCATCGTCATCCTTCAGCGAGAACTATTCCACATCACAGCCAGACTCGGACGACAACAATGGCATTATGGAGGTCAGTGACGACGAAGACGATGATCTTAATACTAGCAGTTCTACAAAGTTCGACGAAGTCCGAAGAGATGTCAAACTACCCTCAATTTCTACAGAAGACTCAAAAGCCATGTCTGTAGAAGAGGATGCTGTTCTCGACCTAAGCATTGACAAAGATGATCATGATGTAGACTTTGTGGTTGTCTGTTAGCATTAGTATGGCTCACAATACAATATGTGTACATAAGCCGAATAATAATTAAAGAAAAATATACATGCTAGTTACCGTATGGCTTCGCTTTTCCTAAAGAATGTTGAGTAACTTTCGTGGATAATATATTTAGAGCTGAGCTGGGTCGCTCAACAGAAAACCAAAACGTCCCGCCTAAAATTGCTGTTGGTTGTTGGTACCCTGAAAAGAGGGAGAAGTAATTTTCATTCGTGTGTGTGACCGCACTTTTTCTCTCAAACGATATATCGATGTTTAATGGTTTTCACACCCGATTTTATTTTATAAATGCATTCACATATGTGTAAGGAAAAGTTAACTTAACCAAAAATAATCAGATTTAAGACACACTTTAGCTAGTTTTGTTTTCCATTTAAGTGTTTGTGATAAAACAAAATGAGTGACGAAAAAAGGTAAGTAAAGATTATAAATTATGCCATGCAATTTTTATTTTTTTTTGGTTATGTCGTGTGTGTGTGTGGTATGCATGTACATACATTTATTAATTTCTTGCGTTTCCCATTGCTCTCGAAACAGTCTCGACTCCAGCAATAATAGCGGAACAGAGGAGCGCCGAGCCAAGCTCAAGAAACAGAAGAAGCATAAGAAACACAAAAAGTCCACATCCAGCAAGAGTGATAAAGATAAACATATTCACAAAAAGCACAAAAAGTCCAAGAAGCGTCACCACCGCCATAGCGAGTCTTCGCATGACTCTGACGCACATTCAAGCGCCAAGCAACAGAAGAGCTATGGACTTAGCGACAAGTTCTCCGAAATCATGCAGAAGGCGAGCCGCAATGGCACCGAGTTCTGTATATCTAGCTCTAAATTATTGCAAACAGACCCGTGTAGTCTCGTGGAAGAGATTACAAAGACAATACAGAACAAGGTGCTCCCAGTTTTGGAGGTGGGCAGTTCGAGCAGCGAGAGTGATGTGTAAGTTTATCTGAATATCGAAATGCATTTGACTGCGCTTGTAATGCGTTCGCTCTTGCCACATTTCTGATATATGTATTTACACTTTTCAGCCCCATGGATGTTGCTAGTCCGATTATTGCTTCCATTATAGAAGATGAGTTAAATTTAGAGGATCTTATGAAGCAGAAGGCATTGCTACAGGCCCGCCTGGGCGCGTACATGTCGGACCCAGACGCTGATGAAAGAAGTGAACCCAATTCCCGAACACAGTCGGTGCAGCAAATACCCAGCAAGGGCCATTCGCAGCCATTATTCCAACCGCATCGGATGGTCGTCAGCAAGTCTGCAGCGCCGTTGGCTACTGCAACTAGTAAAAATGTTAATAATAAACAGTCTAGCATCCATAACTCAAATGAATCCGATGTTATATTATTGGATGATTCTAGCGGAGGCCAACGCACGCCCTCGCCTACAAAAGAGAAGCGAAGACGACACGCACCACCTTCCACAGCAGCGGCTAGAAGTCGTGTACGCGACGATCCGGTTCATGGACGACGTGACCGCCGCTCTAGAGACCGGGATCCTGTGCGTAGCCGCACTCCCACTCGCCGGAACCTTCAGCAGAACAATCGTAACATGGAAGACTTGCGCCAGGAGATCAATCGCGATAAACAGCGGGAAAGACACGAGCATAGCCGGGATCGGGAGCGCCGTGGAACAGGAACAGACAGACCACAACCCACTGTTGAACCACGTACTGGTCGTCCACGGGTGCGAGACGGTCGCTTCAATCGTCAGCGGTCTCACAGTCGCAGTAAGTTTGAGTCAGACAGGCGCCGTGAGCGCGAACGCTTCCAAGATCGGGATCGTGGTGGCTTTGGTGGTAACAATCGTGTTGGAGCACGTGGCGGCGCTGACAACGACCGAGACCGCTACAAAGGCTCACTGAGCGAAGGTCAGAAGATGCACGACAAGGAGAGCAGTGACGATGACGTCAATCTGGATATAGACATCAACGAGGATGAAGATGATGAGGAACGTATCATAGAGCAGCGTCGGAAAAGGCGCGAGGAGCTTCTTAAGGTTAGTCGTCCTCTTAGTCCTTGCTAAAAAGTGTTTGCCTAACTTGAACCTTTGCAACAGAAACTGGGAACAGGGCAGGAATCGCCCACTCCTCAAAATTCAAACTCTTATGAGTCTCGTAGCACCTCGGCAGGCTCGTCGCAACGCGATCGCCAACCAAGAACTCCCACGCCCACCCTCACACTCAATGACTTGGATCACTCTAAGGAGCAGCAGCAGTTGGAAAATTCCAACAGTCAGAAAAATAGTTCGGGAAAAGAAAAACGCAATGAGTGGGACATGTTTGCGGATCAGGATGTTGATTCCAATTTCGATGTGAGTTACAGGCTTGTAAATTTCGGTCCCCAATTCCCATATTGCCTCAACTAACCCTATGTTACCTCTCGCAGTCGCCAAGCACAATTATTCACAACAAGCATCAGCATGAGAATCCCTCCCTTACCGACAACTGGGATGACGCCGAGGGGTATTATCGTGTGCGGATTGGAGAAGTTCTAGACAATCGCTACTTGGTAAGTGGCTACACGGGTCAAGGAGTGTTCAGCAATGTGGTGCGTGGGCGGGATCAGGCCCGGGGACAGGCAAATGTAGCGATAAAGATCATTCGTAACAACGAAATTATGTAAGTACAATGTTTGTAAATATCTTACGCTTTTTAAACCTATTTTATATGTTCAATATGAACAGGCATAAAACCGGGTTGCGAGAGTTGGAAATCCTCAAGAAACTCAACGATGCCGATCCCGAAGATCGTTTCCACTGCCTGCGGTTGAATCGCCATTTTTTCCACAAACAGGTAAATGTAAACACACAATATACATACATACATACATATATGGCCAAACACAATATAATAGACTTTCTTTATTGTCATTAATATAACATTAATATATAGATTTTCTCCTTATAACAATTTTTGTTATTTTTTACTCCTTTTATTTTTCTCCGTCAAGCATCTCTGCATGGTGTTCGAGCCACTGGCCATGAATTTGCGTGAGGTGTTAAAGAAATATGGCAAAAATGTCGGGTTGCACATCAAAGCAGTGCGCAGTTACACTCAGCAGCTGTTTTTAGCTCTCAAGCTTCTGAAAAAAACAGGTATTCTGCATGCGGACATTAAGCCGGATAATATTTTAGTCAACGAGAATAATTTGATTCTGAAGCTTTGCGACTTTGGGTCTGCTTCGGCCATAAGTGACAATGAAATTACTCCTTACTTGGTGTCGCGGTTCTATCGATCGCCAGAGATTATCTTGGGAATACCATATGACTATGGAATTGACACTTGGTCTGCTGGTTGCACCATCTACGAGCTATATACGGGAAAGATTTTATTCAGCGGAAAGAGTAACAATCAGATGTTAAAGTTTTTCATGGACGTTAAGGGCAAGATACCAAATCGTATTGTAAGAAAGGGTCAATTCAGAGAGCAGCACTTTGATCAGAACTGCAATTTCCTCTATCACGAGATAGACAAGCTCACGGAAAGGGTAAGAGTAGAAACACTTTGCATTTGCAACAACACAAAATTTATATCGTCTTCCATCTGCAGGAGAAGATTGTTGTGATGCCAGTCGTAAAGCCATCGCGCAATCTGCAGCAAGAACTCATTGCGGATCAAAATCTGCCCGATGATCAGCATCGCAAGGTCACTCAGCTCAAGGATCTTCTAGAGAACATGTTTGCCCTTGATCCAGCGAAGCGGATCTCACTCAATCAATCACTAATGCATCCCTTTATACAAGAGAAAATGTAGAGATGAACAACGACATCGAATAAACGTAATTCCTTTTCCAGCTCGTAAGAAAACTTATACGCCCAACTCGCGTTAGTTACTAGTTTTAAAATTCTATCAGAGAGAAAGTTCGCCTAGAAATCACCCGCACCTTGCATTTACATGTACAGAAACGATGTATATATATACATATGCCCTGTGGTTTCTGGCTACCAGCTATTAGAAGTAGGGTCTTTGGTGAACGAATTCAATTTGTAGGCGTGTGTTGCGCACTACACACTTAAGTATTCTAATACTTTGTTCGAAAACGCATGTATCCGATTTATAATACATAATATTTACACACATATATATATATATATATATATATATATATCTATATATTTATATATATAAATATATATATTCTATATGTACATTCCGTTCACGCTCTGCCCATTTGTCTTAAAAAACATACATATTAATGTGTACTACAATTTCAGTGTGCCGCTGATCATGGAAGAGCGCTCCTTGTTCGTGTGGCTTACTCAACTGGTAATAATTTATTTATACGACCTTGCTAAGGACACCCTTTAAATATACGTCAATAGTCATTCGACAGCATTTAAGTTTTTAGGCAATTAAATACATAAACAAAACAAAATAATTTTGTTTGGTTACATATGTCTGATTGAATATTCTTTTTGTTTTCGTTTAACTTTGCATACTTATTCGTACACCATAATTGACTACAGCTTAAATTTGTTGTGTGGAAAAGAAACTTTATTTTGACATAGATTAAATATAAAATTGTTTTTGTTAGTCTCTTATGGACTAATAACATTGAAGTCTCTCTCCATAATTGGTATCTTAAAAGTGCTCGTACAACAGTACTGTATTTATTCTTTACTTATTCAAAACTATCAATGAAGGGCAAAATTCTCTTAATTGAAGAAGCAATCAACGCTAAAAACTATGACTGAGACTAATTTATTGTTGATAGAGTTCTATAATCTCTCTCTTTTCTAATGTCCACGTTCTCTTTGAAATTTCAGTTGGGTTGACTACACAAGTCTATACGGAGACCTCTTTGATCTTCGAGTGAAATTGTAAGTTTATACAAAATACATTCCATATTTCTAAGCTAAGGGTATGTTAAGATAACCAAACAGATACGTGATATAATTTGGTGGGCTCCTGAGCTATTGAAAGGTTATTTCACATTTAATCGTTCTATAGTAGTCCACCGCTAGTCCAATTCTTCGTTAGGCATCGGAAGGGACAGTACTGTCTGCAGAGTCTCGCACTCTCTCAGACTATGGAGGATGCGTGGCTGAAGCTCGCTCTTTAGCAAGCATTTAAATCTTTTGGGCTTCCAATTGTTTTCGGAATAGGGATCACGCAACAGTACAAAGACGCATTCAAAAACGCCAACACAGGACTCGGTTGTGTGAAGAGTGCCACAGGAGACTACCAAGACTTGACCATAGGAATCCATGCGCCCTTGTATTCCACCGTGGGTTAAGTTTGGGTTAAACTGGAAGCCAAATTGTTTTTTTGTTCTTATAAGTACTGAAAGTACCTCTGCTGCCGTCTGACACTCTTGCACATTAATTCCATCGCTTGCAATAATAGTCAAGTGCAATGCCGCATCGTTCCACAAATCTATAAGGCTGAGCTGGTCAGAATTAAAGCGTTCAAAAAACCACTCGCCGAATTTCCGAGCGATAGTGTGAATGGGATACTCCTCTTCGTTGCTTGGTGTGTTAATGGGTTCTACGGGTTGCTGTTGCTCCCAATACCTGATAACTTTCGTTACCAAATCCGCCTTGGTGAAGTTTGTCGCTATCTCCGGTAAGCGTCTTTTCACATACATAAACAGGAGTTCGCGCGTGACGAGACGTTTGGACAATAAAACGTGTATATTTTCAACGTGCGCCATCAGGTAATCAATGGCTTCTGTAAGGGTATATTAGCGTCTAAAGATACGCCTCTATTAAATAAAGTCTAGTTTTCTTACCCCGAGGATCTTCGATTTTACACACATTTTTTGTTGTACTCTTGGCTAGCTGTATCAATATAGCCCTGTTTTTCTCATTCATCAAGAAGTCTCGGAGACCATTTTTGTAGACTTCCGAAATGGGCATGGCTTTTCAAAACTTGTATTCTAGATGTCTGGCTCTGTTAAACTGGATATTTCCTGTTTGCTAATTATAAAAGCGTTCCAGTAGATATAAATTTTCCGATTTGCCTGACTATTATAAAATCAGCTGTTTGCCATGAAGAAATGGTCACATTAAACCAACAGTGTTGCCAAATGCTGAGGGGAAAAAATTCTGCTTGTTTATTTTGTGAATTTCTTAGTTTATGCACGATTATAACTCCAGTTTTATTTCAATAAAGATATTTTAAACAATAGAGTCCAAACAGTAGTTTATTTCCGATAGACTGGCTTTGATAGCACGTGGCATATAAATAAATACATAAACCGTTCTGAAAGTGTTCATAAAAAAAGGCTTCTGTCATTTGTTGAACACGCTTTAGTTTTATAGTTCGCGAGTTTGTTGCGGCATAACTTCGCAGGTTGTATTTATTTTCTGCTCAATCGCAATTAATTGTGCTCCGTAGAGTAGAGCGAGTTTTCTGGTTTCACCGTTGTCGATAAGAAAACGGCTCGACGACCTTATCTAGCAATCGGCTTGACAAATATGAGATTCCAAGAATTTATTTCATTGTGAAAGCGAACTCGTAAGAGAGACATTTGAATATTATTATTGTTGACTTCTGGACCCTGAAAATCGAATCGAACTTTTAAATGGAAACGCAAAGTGATACATTTGTGGGAGCCATTGATGAGGGAACTACCTCGGCTCGCTTCATAATATTCCGCGCTGGCACTGACGACATAGTCTGCTACCATCAGATCGAAGTTCCCTCTATATTCCAGAAGGAGGGATGGTGTGAGCAAGATCCCATGGTTATAGTGAACACTGTGAACGAGTGCATCGCTGGAGCTTGTAAGAAACTAACCGCTCTCGGTGGACAAATCCAGGTGAGACCTAAAGGTTCAGCTAAAGTCAAAAGAGCAACATGTCTGCCTCCCGGCTAAGATTTGTATTTATTAGTATATGTCAAGATAATTACAGTACATAACTATTCAAACACTCTTTAGCTTTCGTTAAAATAGGTGCGATAAACCTGAGCCTCATTAATCCTCTCTTGTAGTGTGCGCGGTGGCTTGATTTCCGTGCAATCCTCCAGCTTCACATAGATCTGATCGTTGTGACCAAAGTCTCCTTGGCGACGCGGCATAACATGGAAATGGACATGGGGAACAGTCTGCCCGGCTTGGGCTCCATCTTGCACAGTAACTGTGGCCGATGTGGTTTGATAGATCTTCTCCAGCAACCGCTGTACCATGCAAACAGTGGCGAACATGTCTGTCATCTCGGCACAGTCGAGTCCACACAACCGGGGCGTTATTCGCTTGGTCGACACTAATACGTGACCCTCGACTACGCAACGAAGATTGGTAAATGCAAAGCAGTGCTCTGATTCGTAGAAAATGGTGCGCTTGTCCACAATGTTATCCGCAAAGGCACGATCCACATCGGGTTCCCTGGCACGAATGTTGTAAGCCGTCAAGCTGTAAAGATCATTGCGTCGATGATCAAAGCAGGGCATGCTCTGACGAACCGAGCCCACAATGGAAAGGTCTATATTTGCTGTGACAATATCCAAATCCTTTTCTCCGCCGCAATCGGCCAACACCTTTCCCCAAGGACTGATGATCATGCTGTGACCCCAGCTCTGTCGCTTTTGGTTATGCCATCCTTGTTGGGCTGCGGCGACTACAAAACACTGCGTCTCAATCGCCCTGGCACGCAGAAGAATCTCCCAGTGAGCTTTTCCCGTAGCATAGGTAAAGGCAGCTGGATACGTGAGGAGTTGAGCGCCCAACTTCCTTAACAAAATCGCCGGCTCGGCAAAACGAAGATCGTAGCAAATCTGTAGACCAACTTGGCCAGCAGCTGTTTCTACCGGCTTTTCCAAGCGCTCCCCAGCGGACACTGTATCTGATTCGCGCAACCGAATGTCCTTCGTTGTGGCATCGAACAGGTGCATTTTGCGGTAGACGGAAGCGAGCTCACCCTTCTCACTAATCAGAACATGGGCATTGTAAATTTTCCCCTGGTCGTTCAATTCGTGTATGCCGCCGAGAGAGAGCCACATCTGGTGGCACTTGGCCAACTCTTTGTATTCTGAAACCAGTTTCCCATCCAGCCTTTCTGCCAGGTCGATTGTCTGGGCGCGGGTTTCGCCCACAAAGTCGCAGCACTCGGGAAGAAATATCATTTGTGCATTCTCAGATTTGGCTTTCTCAATAAGCTCCTTCACCTGACTTAGATTTCCGACCTTATCGTTGGTGGATCGCATCTGCCCAACAGCAATTGTCGCACTTTGACCGTTTTTAATATTTTCCGCTCCGCTCGCCATATTTCGTAGTAGCTGTCGATTGTGGCTGGAAATACTTTGACGGATAATTTTGAATAGGCTTGACATTGAAGACCGGTGATCGGGAATGAGTGAATTTGTTTGTGCTAGTTACGGTTACGTCGCCCAATTATCACCAGGTTTCTTATCACCTATACTTTTTACTGATGTTTAATGCATTATTTTCGTAATGGCTGAACGGGAAAATCTCAGTGTGTACACATCCATGAAAAATGAAAAACAGCTGTTATTATTTTTATAAATCATTTTAAATGAAATACTTTCTTATGTTAACAATGTTGAGCCAAAAGCATTGTTTGGCCATTGAATTGACAAATTTAAAACTATGGGGATGCATATGTATTTACATTTTAGAATATTATCACCATCGGAATAACGAACCAGCGTGAGTCTACCGTAATTTGGGACCGGCTAACAGGTCAACCCCTGGCCAATGCTATAATATGGCTGGACAATCGCACCACGAGTACGGTAGAGGAGCTCTTAGAGGCCATTCCCAACAATGCCAGAAACATCAACTACCTACGCCCCCTATGTGGATTGCCGCTCTCTCCCTACTTTTCTGGGGTAAAACTGCGATGGCTACGGGACAATGTCCCTTCAGTAAAGGCTGCAATGGACAGCGGAGTGGCAATGTTTGGAACCATCGACACTTGGCTAATGTATAACCTAACGGGTGGCAAGAATGGTGGTGTCCACAAGACGGACGTGACCAATGCTTCACGAACAATGCTGATGAATATTGAAACCCTTCAGTGGGATCCCAATCTCCTGAAATTTTTTGGACTACCTAAGACCATCTTACCAGAGATTTGTTCGAGCGCAGAGTTTTATGGCCGCATAGAGCAGGGCGTTCTCAAAGGGACAAGTGTAACTTCGGTCTTGGGGGATCAACAAGCAGCGCTCGTCGGACAACAATGTCTTTCAAAAGGTCAAGCTAAGGCAACCTATGGAACTGGCTGCTTTCTGCTCTACAACACGGGCGCCTCCATTGTCCACTCTCAGCACGGGCTTTTAACGACAGTTGGCTATCAATTGGGGCGGAAGGCCACTCCTTACTATGCTTTGGAAGGAAGTGTGTCCATAGCTGGAGCTGCTTTCAATTGGCTGCGCGACAACATTGGAATCATTCAGAACTCCGGGCAGATCGAGGCTATGGCTGCCACAGTGGATAACTCTTTAGATGTCTACTTCGTGCCGGCCTTTAACGGATTGTACGCTCCTTACTGGAATCAAGATGCCAGGGGAGTCATATGTGGGCTGAGTGAGGAGACCACCAGTGAACATATTGTTAGAGCCACTCTGGAGGCGGTCTGTTTTCAGGTCCGAGATATCCTCGACTCTATGCACAAGGATTGCAAAATCCCACTGGCGCGACTGATGGTTGATGGAGGGATGACAGTAAACAACCTGTTCCTGCAGCTCCAGTCGGATCTAGTTGGAATTCATGTGCTTAGAGCCAAGATAGCAGAGACAACAGCACTGGTTAGTTTTAACAAATCATTTGATAATGCTGCTTTAACCACTTGAATTTCAGGGCGCTGCAATGGCAGCTTATAAAGCTGTCGAGAATCGGTACTCCATGGAGGCTCCGCTTTCTAAATCAGGTCCCCGGGAACCTATCAAGCCCACGATAGGTTCTACTGAACGCAATCTTCGATACCAAAAATGGAAAATGGCAATTGATCGATCCTTAAACTGGGAGACTTCCACTCTGCCACAAGGCGAACGCGAGGCCTTTGATGGAGCGTAAGCGGCTTGATTCGACCACTGGAACAAATGGACTAATTCATTCGATAAATATAAATTTGTTTTCGATTGTTTTAAATTTGCACTTGAAACTGACCTAATTTAATCAATCCTTTGTTTTCGACTTTTGAATTTAATTGCATATAAAAATGTTCATGAAAAACGTAGAAAGGGGTTTCTGTGCGTCGCTGCTTACTGGCAGTGCTTTTCCTTCGGCTAAAAGCTTTCGGTCCGTTCCCTCACACGTTCTCATCCGCGATGCCAGCAGCACCGGCAACCGCTGCGGCCGCTTGTTCCAAATCGTTGATCATCATAACCCCACCGGCTGCCTCGTCCACGGCGACCACTGCAGCGGCAGCGGCACCAACTGCAGGCACGACTGCAAGCTCTGCATTATTTTGGTTTGGATTCACCGCAGCAATGGGCGGAATGGGATTTCCACCTGCAAAGGATGTGGAGCTATAGGAAGCGTACGCTATCCGCGGTGAGTTCTACGAACTTGCATCCAATTCTAAGGGAGGATCGGCGTTTGCTTCGGCGAGATTCGTAACGGATTTCGATTTGACGCACTGAAAATCGACATGACGACTCTTGGCTTCCTCCTTTTCCCAGGACATGTGGATAAAAGGACGTTGGACATAGCTATAAATGACCTCGGCTCGCCCGCCTGGTCGTCGCCGAATCTTCTCCTTGTGTGTAGGATAACCTTCTATGCCGCACCGTATCTTCTTCAGGCCGCGATCCTTCATAACCTGCTTTGCCACATCCCGGTTTTCGATATACTTAAAGAATCGATGCATGGCTGTGCTGTGAACGGCTGGATTAGGGAGGTATGTATTAGTAATTCGAACACGCCGCTAATATCAGTTAAGAGTGGAAAGCTAATTTGGGACTTATGCCCAATGTAAAGAGACATACTTTGGCAATACTCCTCGCCCATTTGGGGTGGAAATTCCTCATCCCAGTCGACCATGTCATCTTCTAGAAGCACAACCACATGACACTCACGATCGCCACGCTGTGCTGAGGCCACCATCAATGGCAGTATAAGATCCTCGAGAAACAACTCAAACTGCTGACGTGCTCCTTCATTGCTGAGCTCGTGAAGAAGACCTCCTTTTTGTCGAACATAACAGAAGGCATGTTAGAAAGAAATGAAGCAAAGAGCAGAGATGGCCACAACTGAGGTTCGCCCTTGTAGAAGCATTTTGCTCATTTGTATGACATACTCACTTAGGTTCTGGCAGCGTACGGTAGTTGCGTCAAAGGGTATCAGAAGATAATCACAGGCTTCCTTCAGCTCAGGAACAGATACACTTGGGGGACAGCGGATCACGCCACTTTTGTAGTACTCCAAAATTGCGCGAAATACTAAATGCGAGATGCCGTCTGCAACGTCGTATTCACCCCGCTCATTAGGATGGACAAACTGGAAGCCTGAACCGAACATGGTGCCCAGCATGGTAGTGGGGTGGGCGGTGAGCAGCGATTGCTCCACCGTAAAACGGACCCCATCCACTAGCATGGAAATCCGCTCTGGCGGCACAACCTGGCGCCCACCAGCTACACCTGACGCAGCCGCTTGGCTTGTCGAGGCGCCTCCTGGGCACTTGCCATCGTGCTTCGGTATGGCTCCTCCGCTGGACATTGTGTGTTGAGATTTATTCAGGGGGCGTTGCAGCCGGGAGCGATTCTTCGATATGCGTCTTCTCCGCTCCTCGGCGGCCTCGTCCGAGTTCTCTTCAATGCTGCTGCTGTCGCTGCTGTATGTGTCTTGCTGAAGCTGGTGCTGTTGCTGTGGCTGCTTGTTACCACTGGTGTTGTTGCTATTGGAATTGGGTGTTGTTGACATTTTTCTCGTGTTCTTTTGCGCCTCCGCCTCCGTCGCAAAAGATAGCTACTATTAACAGCACCGACTGAAACAAAGAAAGGGCGTTCGTTCGTTTGTGTATCTGATTTATCGATCAAATATACCGTCAGGGCCTCGTAAATTACCAAAATATACCATTGCATCTTCAAAATATACCGTAAATATACCGTAGTCGTAAATATGATTCCTCGATTATGTTCTATTTGATATTACTAGCTTGCCAAGACTTTCACCACTGAAACAATAATTTTGTCCGATTGAAGAATCAATTTTGCTTGTCATAAATACTCCATTTTTGGATTGTATACCTTATGACCTTATATTTTTATTTGAATTTTCATTCAAATCACCCCCTCTGGAAGCAAGGGAGCTTTGTCTTCAGTATGTAAATGTATGTAAATTATTAACAGAGACTCATGTACATATGTTAACTGATATCAATGACAATTAGTAAAAGCGCGCGGAACAAAAGAGGAAAGGAAATTCTATTGTTTTCCTGTAAATTGCACAAAGCGTTAGACGACAAGGGAACATACGTATTTTTGCTATGGGGGCAGTTCTTCTATCTTTACAACATAATTGGGGATAGAATCCGGTTTCGACATTATCATTCATAATTCATTATTCATATTCACTATAATTCTTGCTCATCATTATCGTCTAACTAATCACCTATGATTGTTGTTTTCGTTGATTCTATTTCTGTTGTTTTATTTTTATATATTTTCTATAGTCAAATATTAATATTTTATATTATATATATAGTTGTATTTGTATATTTTGTATTTGAAGTTTTATTCTAGCGAGCTTTCAGGAAACAAGGGTAAATACCGGTAAATACGACACAAAACATTTCAGATGCGCCATCTACGCGATGGAAATTCTCCAGGTAAATCCTCTCCTGTGTCTGAACGGTCAGGGAAATTATCTTCCGCCCGACGCTCTCGCAGGCACTATTAGGGGTCCTTTCAACAGTTGCGAAAAAGGTGGGAGCCTAAAAATAGCTCGTCCTTTTTACCTGCTTGCCATACCTTGCCCTCACATGCCAAAGAGACAATTCGGACAGCAAGAGAGAGGATTAGGACAACAGTTCCTGTATTTTTCTCCCCATTTTTGCGCTCAAATGTGAGCACAGAAACTCCACAACTCCACAAACTCCACAAATATACCAAAAATAATATACGCCCACACTTACATAAAACGTAAATCTTCACCCATTTCTTCGAATTTGATGTTCTATTTGATATAACTGGTTATTTAAGAGTCTCCGCGCTAAAACTATAGTTTGATCGGTTTTGTCAATCATTTCTTGACAAGATTGGCTGGTTTTCACAACTACTTTTTTGTTTTTAATTGGGTAGAAAATAGGGTTCTAACTTAACTAAGAAATGAGCATAAGACTTAAGAGTGTAACGTGAGAGGTTACGTAATCTTACCTCTTTTTTGCTTGTCCAACCGTTTGTATAAACATTTTGTATTTCTCTTAAGTATTGTAAAAATTCAGATTTTCAAGTTTCAAGACCGTACTCTGATTAGTTTCTCCATTGAAGACTCTAGATTGTTCAAAAATAAAATCTTTCTTAGTGATACCCATTTAAATTGTGAGTTTCTTGTTTATTATTTTTTATTTGACGAAAAAACCGGAGAAAACAAAATACATGGAATGCCAAAAATTACCAATGAAGTTAAAATGTGCATCGGAATATGTTCAAAAATTCAATATAAAACTTGTGTGACCAGCAAAATCTGTCTGTTACGAAACTTTCTAGATCAACTTCGATTTAGCAGTCAGGTATTGTGAGTGAGGAAGTAGCGCTTAACAGCACACTGTAAGGCACAAGTTACAGTAAGACCACAATCGACAGACTTTAAAATGCAACCCTGTGTATACGCAAAGATGGAGTCGAAAATTTATAATGGCGACAAATCTGTGAAAATCTTGTAAATAATCATAAAAATTGCATTGTCCCCAAAAATGCAAATGCAATTACGAAAAACGTGAGTGTGAAAGAAATGCTACGCGAAATTGATTAAACCTGTGCCATTTTCGCACTGTAACAAGTGCCTCGCGTGCGTGTCTGCGGCGGCAAAAAACGCAAATGTAAAAATATATAACAAAATTGGATTGACTTGGGATTAAAAAAAGTAGTGATACATGTATTTAAATTATTGTATCAGCAGACGTGCTGCAAAGTATCCCATCTAAATTGTGCCACATCAATAACAAATGCTTTTGTTACATTAAAAAGGGGGAAAAGTGCAAAAAAAAACCTATGATTACTAGTGTGCTGAAGAGAGGAAGGGGAGAATGGTTGGCTGCCAACCAAGAAGCTGATAAATGCAACACGCGCGCCACCTGCTTGCCTCCCGCTCGCACTCGTAGATCTAGTAAGCGCGCCCTTAAAACGAGCGTGTTGTGTGTGAGCGAGAAGGCGTGAGAGTGCGTGTCATAGCAGCTAAACAATATCCGATAGCTAAAGAGTTTTTTTATAAAATTTTTTTTGTGTATTTTGGTGTGAAAACACAAGAATGGACAAAAAATTATGAAAAACCTAAAATTTGTATGTTTTTATATTTCCGAACATCAAGTCGAGCAGCAGAAGCGTGGCAATTATATAAATAAATTAAGCAAAACAAAAACACAGAAACGCACAAAGTGTGTGCCAAATACCGAACAAAACAAACCGAAGCAAAAGAACGTGAGAAGAGGAGCGGACCGGGAAAAAGATAATAACTTGCCTGGAGAGGAGTGCTGAGCACGCAGGACTGCAAAGTGGCGTCGCTACTGGAGATTAGGGCTGGGGCAGCAGCGGCGTCCATGTCCAAGGGGCGGCACAATAATAACCACTATTGCACCACTACCAGGAGAGCGCAGCAGCAGCAGCCGGTGTGGTGTCGCCAATTGTGGCCTTAAGCATGTAGTAAGTGCTGAAGGTGCCTTTGCAAAGATCGAATTCCAATTGAACTCTCCAATCTCTCTCTCTCTCCCTTTCTGTCTTAAATTGGAATGACAGGTCTTGAAGCAAGAACCCGTTCTCTTACCAAGCACAAGACACGAGGAAGAAGAAGTAAATCAAAACAGCAGAAACACACAAAACAAACTCGACACCAATGAAAAATGTCACAAAGAGGTAAGCGCGGTAATCAACATCATCATCAGTCGCATCATCCGCCGCCGCAGCAGCAACAGCGGAAGGATGTTGAGCCGCAGCCGCCCCCCACCAAACGGCGTAAAGGCAGACCGCCCAATGGGGCGACAACAGCAGCGGCGGCAATAACAGCGACAGCGGGAGCGGGATCAACAACAGGAGGAGATCGAGTTCCAATTATACCATCAAGTAAAAGCAAAAACGATGTGGAACAGGAGCTTGATATTGGTGAAGGAGGAAATGAAAGTGGACTACTTGGAGCCGCCAGCAGCAGCAGCAGCATTAGCAAATCCAAGTCAACGAAGCAGGCCAAATCGTCTAGTAAATGCAAGTCGCAGGGGGCAAGTACGAGCAGCTCATGGCAGGCTCGCTCCGTGGCAGACATTAAAATGTCGAGCATTTACAATCGCAGCTCAACGGAGGCCCCAGCTGAACTTTACCGGTGGGTATTGGATGAAAGGGGAAAGGAATCGGCTCTTGCCTTGAATCTCGCTAAATAGCCCCCTTCTTCTCCCGTCACCTATACAGCAAGGATCTCATTAGCGCAATGAAATTGCCAGACTCGGAGCCATTGGCCAATTATGAGTATTTAGTTGTTGCGGATCAATGGAAGCAGGAATGGGAGAAGGGCGTACAAGTACCTGTTAACCCGGACTCCCTTCCCGAGCCATGCGTTTACGTTCTGCCTGAGCCAATTGTGTCGCCAGCCCACGACTTTAAGCTGTGAGTGTTATGATATAGAGTCCACAAATCCCAGCTTAAACACTCTTTGCATCTCTTTTCAGTCCGAAAAATCGCTATCTGCGCATTACCAAAGACGAGCACTATTCGCCGGAGCTGCATTGCCTGACGAATGTCGTTGCCTTGGCAGAGAACACCTGTGCCTACGACATAGATCCCATTGATGAGGCCTGGCTGCGTCTCTACAATGGCGATCGTGCCCAATGCGGTGCTTTCCCTATTAACGAGACACAGTTCGAGCGCGTCATTGAGGAGCTGGAGGTAAGTTTCCCCATTGATCGCTACCCGAAACACTTCTTCATTTGAGGGTGCACTTTTGTCGTCAGGTTCGTTGCTGGGAGCAGATTCAAGTCATTCTTAAGCAAGAGGAAGGCTTGGGCATTGAGTTCGATGAGAACGTCATCTGCGATGTTTGTCGGTCCCCCGACTCCGAGGAGGCCAACGAAATGGTATTCTGTGATAATTGCAATATCTGTGTGCACCAGGCTTGTTACGGCATTACAGCAATCCCATCAGGTAAGCAGCGACAACGAAGAATCCCTCCTGTAAATGTGTCCCCAAAATTGTATGTTTGTTGCCCTTGCTTCGCAGGTCAATGGCTATGTCGCACCTGTTCCATGGGCATAACTCCTGACTGCGTACTCTGTCCGAACAAGGGTGGTGCCATGAAGTCCAACAAATCGGGCAAGCACTGGGCCCATGTTTCCTGCGCCCTGTGGATACCCGAAGTGAGCATTGGATGTGTGGATCGCATGGAGCCGATAACAAAAATCTCAAGCATTCCTCAATCGCGTTGGTCTTTGGTCTGCGTGCTCTGCCGAAAGCGCGTGGGCAGCTGCATCCAATGCTCGGTGAAGCCCTGCAAGACAGCATACCATGTGACCTGCGCATTCCAGCACGGCTTGGAGATGCGGGCCATTATCGAAGAGGGCAATGCCGAAGATGGCGTGAAATTGCGATCCTATTGCCAGAAACACAGCATGAGCAAAGGCAAGAAGGAGAACGCTGGCGGTGCAAGTCGGGGAGGCAGTGCCTCGGTCACGAATTCTATGCACAAAGCGAACAAGTACACAGGTGGCACAGGCGGAGTAGGAGACGAGGGCAGCAGTGCTTGTAGTAAGACAGGAGAGGATCAACGCAGGCGTAAGAATCATCGAAAGAACGACATGACCTCCGAGGAGCGTAACCAGGCAAGGGCTCAGCGTCTTCAGGTATTTGAAAACGATCGAGAATACGTTGAATGTTTACATGATTTTAATTTTTGTTATCCTTAGGAGGTGGAGGCGGAGTTCGACAAGCATGTGAACATTAATGACATCAGTTGTCATTTATTCGATGTGGACGACGATGCCATTGTGGCCATATACAACTATTGGAAGCTGAAGCGAAAGTCGCGCCACAATCGGGAGCTGATACCGCCCAAGTCTGAGGACGTGGAAATGATAGCCCGCAAGCAGGAGCAGCAGGACTTAGAGAACCATAAGCTGGTGGTTCACCTGCGGCAAGATCTAGAACGAGTTCGCAATCTCTGCTATATGGTTAGCCGGAGGGAGAAACTGTCGCGCTCCCTATTCAAGCTTCGCGAGCAGGTCTTCTATAAGCAGCTGGGAGTGCTCGACGAAATGCGCCTGGACAAGCAGCAGCAGAAGCAGGAAGAAAAGCAGCGTCCCGACTTGGACATGGACGCTGTAATATACGCCAACGATGGGCCTACGTTGTACGATCGCTTCTACAGCTCGGCTGGAGGACAAACTGTGCCGGCACAGTACCAGGATCTGAAGTACATCCTCGAGCAGCTCATGGGCAAGCTACAGAGTGGAAAGCAGAGGCGTGGACGTGCCTCCCAGTCCCCCAACAAGCGTAAGCAGGTGGCTAAGGCTTCTCCTACTAAGAAGATCAACAATGGCTCCATTACCTCCCGCACATCTTCTCCAGAGAAGCCGGCAGCGATGGGCAAAGCGGCATCCATGTCCTCCACTGCTGTAAAGGTGCGGGGGGTGCCGCCTGGGAAACCTCCTGCAGGGAGGCGTGCCTCAAAGAGCGGCGCGGCGACGGGGACGTCGACCCACAACAAAACCCAATCACAACCGCATTCCCACATCCGGAGCAGTGCGTCCTCCCATACGTCAAGCGGCAATTCATCATCTGGTGATTCCAGCTCGCCGAATGGCACCAGTAGTTCCGACAGTTCCTCTGCAAGCGATTCAGGCAGTGAAAGCGGAAGCTCAAGCGCGGCCAGCGGAATCTTCAAGCGAAAGTCCTCCTCCACAGGAAGTCTCCTTAAAAAGCAAAGCTACGCTCGCTCCGTGGAGCAGCGACAGAAACAGCGCCAGCGTCGCCAAAGTGAGGCGGCTGAGGGTGTGCCTGCGGCGTCTCCGAACTCAAGATCTGCCACAAGCTCTAGCGAAGATGAGGACGAGCAGCAGAGGAGGAGGCAAGAATCTGAGCGTGAGGGCCGCGGACGGGGATCAATTTACAACAAAACAGTACCTAACAGAACCCAACCAACTAAGTCAAAGCACTGCAGTCAAGCAGATGCTGGAGCCGAAGTCGGAATGGGAGCCAGACAAAAATTGTCTACAACAACACGAGGATTGGCTCAAATGCACAAGGATGCCGAGGAGAGCTTGTCGAGCGATGGGAGTGAAGAACTGCTGCCTCTGAAAGGCGAACGGCCGGTCATTTCATCGTCGGGACTGGCGCTATCTGGCCCGACGACCGGTGGCACAAAGATGGGGCAACACATTTACTCTGACTCAGAGAGCAGTTCTTCCCCTAACGAGAAGGAGCTGGAAGAAGTAACCACTCTCGAGAGTAACGTAAGTGACTCTCAGAACCAGCAGACTATACGTACAAAGGCAGCTATGAAAGAGTTTGTGCCAGGGACAGCTGCAACATCGACCCAATCAGCCACAACTGCCACAGCCGCTGCCAGCAAATCCACAAAAGAGGCGAAAGAAGGAAGCACCAGCTCCAAAACGAATTTCAACGCCAAGTTGCCATATCCAGCGGATCTCCTGGTAGTCCCACAGCGTCAGGCGGCCAAGAAGGCTTCCGAAAACATGCGCTCCACGAATCTTGCAGCAACACTGCAACCAGATGCCGCGGAAAGAGTGCGGGAGCCAGAAACCAACTCGGCTGCTCCAATCGGAAAGAACAAGCCCAAGGATTCCGTTTCAAAGCAAGCGACGGAGGCGGAGAGATTCGGAGGGGGAGACAAGGCTCGAACCAAAGAGCACGCCAAGCCTACAGCGAAGTCGGTTGGAGAAGGGATTGTGGAGCGTGGCAAGCGTGGCAGACCGCCCAAAGTGCCAAGAGATCCCACTGCCTCCTCCAACACCAGCATTGAAAAAGGGAAACCACCTCCGCCTGCCGAAGCAAAGTCTATTGCTCTTGTTTCAAATACTAGCACAGCCAAGACCAGTTTCGCTGTCTCCTATGTGCCACAGAGACAAGCAGCTAAGAAGGCGGCGGAGCAGCTGAAAAGCAGCAAGCCCCTGCAGGAAACTGCTTTCTCAAATGCGAACGAGTCTGCAGAGAAGGAACTATCGTCGACAACAACGGGGACGGCTTCGACAGGAACAACAACAACTTCGGCAAAACCCACGAGAAGAACTTCACTGAAGGAAGCACCTAACCCTCCAAAGGAAAGCTTAGGTAACCGGAGAAAGTCGAAGGAGGAGGCAGTGGTGATGGCAACCAAAACGACAACACCAATAAAGCGTCGGATTGCGGCACCCAATTTGTCCAGCTCCAGCTCTGGGGATAGTGAAAGCTCCAGTTCGTCCAGCAGCTCAGGGAGCAGCTCGAGCAGTGGCAGCGGTAGTGATTCCGAAAGCGAATCGGAGGCCAGCGATGCAGATAAAGCAAGGAAAACAAACAAGGAGCCAGCTCCAAGCGCTGTATCATCGTGCAGTACCGTTTCCTCCAATGTGCCAAAGCGTTCACCGCGTAAATCTATGGACAAGCCTGCAGCATCAGGAGCAGCCGCGGCCACCGCGCCGCCCCCGCCACCACCGACTCTACCTGTTAGGACGCGTCAGAACTCCACCAACAAATCGCCAAAGAGAGCACCCCAAAAATCGGTGGCCACGATTGCAATTCAGGACGATGCCCAAGATGCCCCCAAAATGCACCACTATCGCCGCCAATCCTCTCCAGACGACGGAACGAAGCAAGTCCAGTCGGAACAATTCACCAAAAGAGCAACGCGTGGGTCCAAGTCACGCCCTCCCTCGCCATCGGTAAAATCCTCTCCAGAAAAACCAACCCCACGACGAAAATCTCGAGCTGACGAGTCACCCAAAAAGTTACCAAACTGGGAGCATGAAATAAATCAGAGAAAGGCGGCCAGCGGAAAAGCTACCAGCGCGTTGGACAAGATGTTGGATAAAAAACAGCAGCAAATCAACAATTCCACGCCGGCATCACCTCCCAGAAAATCACCCATTCCTACGCCTCCTACACCTCCGCCAGCTCCTTCTCCGCCGCCCGGTAAGCCCCAACATGATCCTGAGCCTGTCGTCGAACCCGCGATGGGTATAAATCCCGAACCAGAGCCGGAACCGGAACCCACAACAGAGGCAGGGGAATTGCCCATGGATATTGATGAGGAGCTGACCACCGCTCCAACGCATACGCAGTTATCGGCCAATGCCAGAAAACTTGCAGACATCATTGATGACGAGCGGCCGCCCGCCGCTCCACTTCCTGCCTCGCCCACACCTACGCCCACCTCTAACGACGAGTTATCGGATGCCGGAAGTGATCTCAGCGCGCGGTGTCGCGGTCGCTGGCGCTCGAGGCGGAGGAGGAGGAGACGAAGCCAAGAGCCAGACGAAGAGCACACCCATCACACGCAGCACCTCTTAAACGAAATGGAAATGGCACGCGAGTTGGAGGAGGAAAGGAAGAACGAGCTGCTGGCGAATGCTAGTAAGTATTCCGCGTCAACATCGTCTCCAGCAGTGACTGTCATTCCCCCCGATCCTCCGGAAATCATAGAATTGGATTCAAACTCTGCCAACTCGGGAGGAGATCAGCAACAGCAGGCGCATCCGCATCTGCAACTGCAGGAGCAACCGTTGCCACAACAGCTGATGGTACACTCACCCCCAAGCGAGGTAGCCTCTTCCATTCAGCAGCAGGAACCATCGCACCAGACCTTAATCGACCAGTTGCCGGTGGAGCACATGGCCCCTGTGCTGACAATCGGTACAACGGCCCCATGTGTCCTAGAGCCGATTGTAAACACCATTCTAGAGATGGAGGACAGCAAGTTTGCGAATAACTTTGCGTCAAGCCTCGCCAGCGTGCTGAATCCGCCCAATCCCGGGCAGATGAGCCTCCTCGGATCGAGCCTAGATAGAGGGGAGCAAATCTCCGAAGAGGATAGCATACAGGCCACCCGAAATCTCCTGGAGAAATTGCGGAAGACCAAGCGGAAGGGTCAGGATGACTGCTGCTCGAAGGAAGTCGTTGACTTGTTGCCCCCCACGCCAGCCATACCGTCAGTGTTTCCGTTCCACAGTGCTGCTGATCCCGAGGATATTATTCATGTCCAGAAGGAGCAACAACAACAGCAAAGTTGCCTATACGGAAACTCTTCAGGACCGAACTCTGTGGCTTCGCTAACGATTAAGGACTCGCCGATGACAGCCAACAGTGGAAGCTATGCTAATAGTTTGACCAACACTCCGAATGCCACGCCCACGAATACCACAATGGGAAATAATCTGGGAGCAAGCGGTGGCTACCAGGTGAATTTTGGCAACCCCCAGCAAGCGCCGTCCCTGAGCTGCTTTCTTGAGAAGTCACCCCATCAAAAGGGGGGATGTCCACTTTCCAAAAATGGAGGAGGAGGTGCAGGAGTACCGGGGGCCACTCCAGACTTTGTGGACCTCGCTGCGGCGGCTGTGAAAAATAGTATCGGAAGGTACCACGGTGGAGCTGCGGTTCCGGGCCCTCAGTCCGGGGCAGGTGGCAACAGCAACAAACTTAATGATTACGACGAGAATACCCGCATGCAGTCGCCATTCGGCCGGATGCAGCGCTGGAACGAAAACGATCTCATAGCAGCGCGGCGCAGTAGCTCCCCCAGCTCAGTTTCCGAGTCAAACGATCAGCCCCCAACAACAGTGGCTGCCCGCAACATATCCCAGCTGGAGGGCTGCAAGACCTTCTTCAACAACTACGCCAGTGGTAATGGTGGAGGCGGGAGTACAGTCAATCCCACTACTCCCTACAGTCATGCTCCTCTGGTCAATGGAATAGACGGCATGTCCATGTTTAGCAACGCAGTGGCACCCCAGCAACAAACAACGCCGACCCAGCAGCAACAACAGCAGAGGACGCCGAATAGTCAGTATAACGGAGGAATCTATCCCCAACTGGCGGCGATGATGCACACCCAGTCAACGCCAACAGAAGCGACTCCGAGTCTGTACGGCAATGGTGGAGTCGGTGTGGTGTCTGGTGTGAGCGTGGGTGTAGGTGTGGGAGCTGTACCGACAACACTGCCGCTGCCACCGCCACCACAAGCACCCCAGTATTCCGGGGCACCATACACCACGCCCAGCCTGGGAATGCTGCCCGTTCAGCAGCAGTCTGTCGTTCCGCCCGTTCAAATCACGACTACCTCAAACCATCAGTTTGCTTTGGCCTCGCCGGTAGACGGAAAGATTCCCACCTACCCTGCCCATCCAACTCAGCTGCTTAGCAGTTGCGTGGAAGCAGCGGTAGTGTCGATGATGCCACCAACGACACCAGGTACCGCCGTCGCAAGCAAAGAGTCGCCGAACAAGAGGGGCAGCGTCAATAGCGGGAGCGCAGCGAAGAAGCAGCCAAGCAAATCTCCTCAAATGCCTCAGGGGAAATCTCCAGGAAAGTCACCCAGGCCACCCCTGCAGCCGCCAACGCCTCCTACGCCCACTCCAGCTGCGACTGTACCACCATCGAAGTATGATCCGCTGACACACACGATCCAGGGCAAGCCCCGACAACGCGCCCCAAGGGGAAGTGGCGGTTCTGGGGCTCCAGGTAGAGGCAGGGGACGTGGAAGAGGACGAGGTCGTGGAGCAGGGACTGCCAGTGGAATGGCCATGTCCCTCCCGCCGCCCATGTCGGATTACGGAAGCAACACGCATATAGTAAACAACCTGGTGGGAACGCCCTTCGAGTTTAATAACTACGACGACGACATGGCGGGACCAGGAGTGGAGAATCTGCAGTCTTTGAGGGATCGGCGCAGGAGTTTCGAGCTGCGAACGCCGCGAGGTCAGGCCAAGCCCACACCCACACCCACGCCCACTGCAGCGACAACAACAAACCCGCTGCTGCATCCTGTGCTGCCGGGACCTGTAGATATGAGGACCTACAATCTCGGATTCGAGGCTCCGCATAGCACGGCTTCCCAAGAGGCCTACCAGAACAACCTCCTGGGTGCCTTTGACTCCGGAACCGCAGATCAAACTCTTAGCGAGTTTGACGAGGAAGATGAACGCCAGTTCCAGTCAGCTCTTCGGGCGACAGGTACTGGAACCTCGCCCAGCAAGCAGCCGACGGTGACAGCAGCGCCAGTTTCCCCTGCTCCTGCTAATACTCCTGCTGCAAACTCTCAACCCGCCGCAAATTTGCACCTCCACTCGACAGAGGCCAATCAAATGGCACTGAGTGTCGCTTCCACAGTGGGCGCAACCCACTTGATGGAGGGATCGCTGGTTGAGGCTTCCCTAGAGGCAACCTCGGAGGAGGTTTCAATAGACTCGGACACCACAATTCTGAACAGCAAAACGTCCAGCGATGCCCGTAGCCAGTTGAAGCTGAAGATCAAGAGCCCTCTGGCATACTCTGGGGAGCACTACAGCACAATGACAAACAGCCTAAGCAGCAGCCTGAGTCTCTCCAGCAGTACTCTGGTGCAGTCTTCGAGCGCCGTGCAAACAACGGTGTCCACCTCCACTGTGGTCAGTACTTCCTCCGTGGGCAGCGGCAACTCTCGACGAATGCGCAAGAAGGAGCTGCTCAGTTTGTATGTAGTGCAGAAGGATAACCTCAACGACGACAGCTCCTGCGGACTTCCAGCGGCGTCCGACAGCCTTCCCCTGGATAACCTTCTACGCAAGTCTGAGGAGGAGGAGGAGGATGTGGCCACCGGCAATGGAAACGGAAATGGGTCTAAGAGGTTCAAAAAGAACTCTAGCAGCAGGGAACTGCGCGCTCTCGACGCCAATTCAGTGCTACAGGAAGACCAACTGCACGCTGGCGTTTCGGGCGGCTGTGCAGGAACGGTATCTGGCGATGGGAGACGTCGCAGCGCTTGCAGCTCCGGTAGCAATAACGACAACAACGGAAAGACCGGTGCGGCCAGCAGTGCAGGTAAGCGTCGGGGACGGAGCAAGACTCTCGAGAGCAGCGAAGACGATCATCAGACCCCCAAGTTGAAGATTAAAATCCGTGGATTGTCGGGAAGCGAGGCAGTCGGTTCTGTAGGGATTTCCAATGCGGGCGATAGCAAGAGCTACAGCTATGAGATGACTCGCAGAGCTTGTCCTCCCAAGAAGCGCTTGACAAGCAACTACAGCACTCCAACGCTGGAGGAGATCAAGAGGGATTCCATGAACTATCGTAAAAAAGTCATGCAGGATTTTGACAAAGGCGATGAGCACAATAAGCGGGATAACTCTGGCATAACTTTGGATGGAGAATCTCTGATGCCTCAGCCTCCCAGCAAGCGACCAAAGTCGTCAAAGCCGAAAAAGGACAAGAAGGAGAAGAAACGCCAAAAGCAGAAGCAGCTCAGTTTGAACAGTGGCTCAACCGCAACCACAATGACTACCACGTTAATTGAGAACACGGTCAGTGCCTCACCAGGCGATAAGCCAAAGCTGATCCTGCGAATTAACAAGCGCAAAACTGAGACTTCGATGAAAATCACTTGCTTGGAGCAGCCGTCGATGAACGAGGCACCCCTGCGCCTGAAAATAGCCAGAAACTCCTCGGGAGGAGGGTATATCATCGGCGCTAAAGCTGAAAAGAAGGAAGATCCTCCACCGGATGCGCCTAATGTGTCGCCACATCAGATACCGCTGATGCTTCCTCTCGGGGAGACATCGCCCCAAGGGCTGCTTCTCAACAGCTTCACCCCGCACTCCCAGAATGCGAATGCCTCTCCAGCGCTGCTAGGCAAAGACGCCGGAACGCCATCGCCGCCCTGTTTGGTAATAGACTCCAGCAAAAGTGCTGATGTGCATGATTCCACTTCGCTGCCGGAGAGCGGCGTGGCTGCCATAGGTGTCCCTGCTTCGCTGGTAGGTGCCACTACCCCGCTGTGCGTGAACGTGGGTAACTATGAGAATAGCAACAACTCGTTGCCATCGGCCAGCGGTACTGGGTCTGCGTCCAGTAATTCCTGCAATAGTAATTCGAACAACAATAATAACAACAGCAGTGGAGGAGGCTCAGCCAGTGGAGGTGGCAGTTTGCTTCCATTAAAAAAAGACTGTGAGGTTAGATGATAATCATAAAAAAGCGAGAGAATCGCTTATATGTGTGTTTTTTTGTATCACTTCATTCATTTCATTTTCCCCTTGTGTGTGATCCTTGTCCCTTTTGGTGTAAATGAGCATTACCCTTCCATTCTCTTCCATGTCCCTCACAAACTTTCAAGTGTACAGCTAGTTTGTAAGCGCCCTTCTTCTACCTTCTACCACACTTATTTGTCTGTAACATGTTTGTTGTAATCGCATGAGCGTAACAAGATATTATCGATATAGACACACGTCTATAAATATATATAAAACCAATACATAGTAAGGCCTCACTTCAAGAAACAAGTAAAGCTAATTGTACATTTTTAGTAAAAGCAGATTATACTTTTAAGGTTTTGTAAAATACTGTATTAAAGTTAAAAAAAAAAAACAAAACGGAAAGGAACGTGTAACCCAAAAAATCCAAAAATGCTCTCGGCTTAGGTTTACGAATGCCCCCATTCACCCAAAAATCCTTCCACTCCTATTCACTCAGATTATCGATAAAACCAAGCACATATACATATATATATATAAATATATATATATGTATATAAATCTAAAATCTATTTATTAATAACTATTTAATTCAAAAAAGCGTATACTAATCGTAAAATATTAGCAAAAACAAAAGAAACAAAAAACTGTTAAACGCGTGCAAAAGTAACAAAAAACCACTACAAATGTAGCCTATAGTCATTAATTGTAGTTCTTAGCGAAAATCAAAGTCGGTAGGTAGTCTCTGACCGCAATCTAAGTGCATATAATTTCCCGCCCTCACCCCCAGCCTATACCTAGAGAGACGAACAAGAAATTAACAATTTATCCTACCCAATTCAAGGGTAATGTTTGTATTTTAAAATGTAAGGGTACGACGAGACGTATCGAAAAGAAACTCCAAATGAAATAGTTTCGTTTTAGTTTTATTTTTTAGCGATTTTTTAAATGTAAAGCAATGTAACATAGGCAAAAGTCCACTGGTTTTCTATAAGCAAAGATCTGTTGCTAGAGCCAAGTCATGAACACACTCGCCCAAAACACAAAACAAAACAAAAAAGGTCGCTTTTACACCCACGGAGGCACTCTCACCATCTAGGAGATATTCACCCGATGTGATTGCATTCCAGATTCCAGTTCAGGACCTCAAAGACTTTCAAGTCCTCATAGACTTTTAGGAAATCCAAATCGCCATAGGGTCGTTGTGCATGGTAGTACTCCTCACTAAATTACTTATTGACTTAATCACATTGGGCGTGGTGCCTCCATTAAATGGAAGAAGTTATCCAGAATACATTAAAGAAACAAATGCAGCAAATATTAATTCCAGAATATTAAACACCCAAATCAAGGCATAGGGAATAATTAAAATTGTGCAAAGATTAAATTGTAGACAGTAATTGCAAGAGTAAATTAAAAAGTTTTCGATAATTGTGTAATTGTATATAAGTGTGTGCGAGAAATGTTTTTAATTATTATTACGTTTAATCTAATTATTAATTAATGATTATGATTATTAATTTTAATTCTAGTTCTTAGCAAAAATTTAATAAATGCAAAAAGCCTTATTTAAAAACAAAACTTATAAACGCAGCACAATATCTTATTTCCTTTTCAAGTCGGTTTTAGTAGACATTTGGACATAGTCAAGCTGTTATTATGATGATTGACGTGTGAACTAATTCTTCCCAAATCCTTAAGTAAACGAACATTTGTCAATTAGAGTGAAAACCAAAAGTCCAACGTCATGGAGTCTTTCGAATTGGTTTTTATGACGTCTTGATGAGACTACCAAGTCTTTGTATTTGGCAAAACAAACATTATTTCTTTAGGGGCAGAGCGTCAGGCATTTATGCAAAATAGTCAACAAACCTCGGACGCATGAGATTTCTTTTTCGGTCAACAAATAGCACGCAGACCAACTAAAACTAGCTATAAAAATATAGAAACACATACCAATAAAAGGATAAGGTAAATACTAAGAACCGTGCATACTGAAACTTACGCAACTACTTCGAGCAACCTCTTAAGATATGCCAATGACACAGAAATTCTCTTCAGCAACACAGGAAAAAAATGTTTAAGGAATAATATAAAGTATTAAAGCCTAATGAGTAAGTGTTAAGCAGTTAAAAAAAATATAAAATAACTGGCTGATGTAGGGAAATATATTTCTAAGCATTAAACTATTGGGTCTATCTATATACTGAAAATTGAATTAAACGCTGTATAAAAGGAAAAGTCAAATAGTACACTAAGTTGTATTATAAATACGAAAATATAGATGAAATTATACATAAACTATTGAGAAAGAGATCTATTTATTAATTTCCTAACCGGGGTAACCGAACGTCCGTCTGTCAATGATATTCTTTTGACCAAAGGAAGCCAAGGCCCGTGCACCGTACAGAAAAATGCCAGTATTTTAATTAGTCTTCGTTTGGGCCTACTCTCTCAGAGTATTAGAGGGATTTTACAGATAACTTTATAATGCCTATTATATCCCTAAAGTACTGGAGAGTATTGAAAATTTAATTGAATGCTTCAGTCCGACAGAACACAGCAGAGTTACAGCACAGTAAGGGTCCGCTTTGTAAACAACGCTTTAATAGCATTATTATTTATGTACTGAAGTGCAAACTGATTGTAAACGTAGCAGGATTTCCTCCGGATCACTAGTATGCGTGACACGTCCTGATCCGACGGAAAACAGAAGAGCTATAGTTCTCCAGAGCTCTTATTTATAGAAACCGTATTAATGGCATTATCCTTTATGTCCTGGAATGATTACAAACGATGCAGGATATTCTTCTGGTCACTAGGAGGGCTGGCACCTCCCGATATGCCTTCAAATAGCGGAAAAAAGGAAAAAACCAAACTTTCTTGTTTTAAAACTTAAATGCATAAATTTTATTGCATAAAAAAAATGGTTTTACAACAAATGTTGTTTTTGGTATTGTTGCCCAACAAATAATAATTGTTGTACAACAAATAATAATTGTTGTACAACAAATAATAATTGTTGTTCAACAAACAATTATTATTGTACAACTTTTAGATGTCGGCGAAAACTAAACATTTCCACATCGAGTACCAGGCTAACAGAAATCAGGAAAAGGTAGCTGGTTTTTTGTTTTTTCACTGTGTCAAAAGCTGGACGATGTGAAACTGCACATTTTTTCATTCGCAAAGTAACTAAAAGTATGCTTCAATATTTTGCAGAATGTAACTTAAGTTATTGCATAAAAAATGGGTGCATACTTTTAGCTTAGCATGGCGGTTACAAAACTGCAATTTTATTGCAATCGCAAGGTTAAGCCTTATAGGACGCGAAACGTCTCCTCTCAACTGGAAAATGGGCTTCATCGCTAGCACGTAATTTGGACTCAAGGACACTAAAGATAATGACATTCTAAAGTTATATATATAAAGTTATATATTATATATACATATATGCATAAACAATCCCTACAAAACTAGAGCTCTGCAGTTTCTAATTTGATGAAGCGTCTCACATGTCCCTTCCCTTTTTTTTTTTGGTTTGTTGTTCCAAACAACTTAATTTTCTTTCAATGCATTTTTCTAACCATTCATTATCTTCCCCTCTCTTCTACCTACAAACCTGCAGTCGGTGATGTTGATGTAGATGCCCAATAATAAAACACCTATATTTTTGTTGTATCTCATTTTTTTGTTTGTTGTTCCAACGAACTTTATTTAGTTTGAAAGCATTTTCCTTACCATTCATTATCTTCCTCTCTCTTCTCTTTTTTTATTTTGGTTGTTACGCTATAATAATATTTAGTAAGTCTAATGCTGGTTTCCCGTTTAGTTAATACAATGGTTAGTATGTGTTTAGATGTGTCTATAGTGTAGGTTTTCGGTTTCTTGAAAATGGTTTCGCATTTTAAAATGTACAATTCTTGGTAGGATAGCTCCCACTACACAAAGAATTTTTAGGTTTATGTATATGGTTAGTATAGTTTGTATATGGTTAAGGTTAGTAAACGGTTAATGTGTCGAGTAGTTAAAGACACACACATCCATTTATAATTACATATATACAGTTAAACAGTATGTGCTTGTTCAATTTATCTTTGCCGGTCTAGGAAACCATTTTGGGTCTCGAGGATTTGTGAGAGGACTTTGTTGTGTGATTTCTACGAGTACTGTATGTTTCCTACAAGAAAATATAAATTTTATTTCGAGGACTACATACATACATATATAATTGCGGAATACACTTTTTACAACATTTAGCCAAAAAGATATGAGTATCATAGTTTTGTTTAAGCTTTTATTTGGGTTCTCCGAGTTTTTGAAATCGACATACATACCATATGTGATTGTGTGTACAGTAGAGAATATTATTTCCTTTTGTTGTGCTCTAATATTTTCCTTTGCCCGTTTCATTTTTTGGTAGAGTATTTTTGCAGGCTTTAAGAAAAAAAGGATACCCCCCCCCCCCCCCCCCCCCCCCCCCC